CATTCGATGAGGGAGGTGGATCGTCCGCATCTGCCGCAGGTTGCGGAAGCCGGATCCTCTTCTAATAAGTTAGGAAGTTCACAGGAGGGTGGAAGGCAATCGAGTTCTTTCCTTGCCAATACAGACGATGTTATTAGTGTGATTGGAGATGCTGAATGGGGCAAAAAAAAGGGTATGGTATCGAAAGGCTTGGAGATGTCTTCTTCTCCTCTAAAAAAGATCAGGGGTCCTAGACTAGCGGTGAATTATCCTGGGATGGGGGCGGATCTCTGGAGGAGAATGAGTGTTCAGGAAACTTGCCTAGTGGTGGAACGGGCCTTCATCACGGAGGATGAGAGGCGGGTAGGTCAATGTGAGGCTCGTGAACAAAGGGATCCCGTGGAGGAGGTTCTGGCAACTGACCAGAAGGTGCTCATGGCTCATAAGGCGGGCAAATTTGCTCGGGGTGGTGGCGGCTGGCCCTCAACAGCCGCAAATCAGCCATGAGTTATATCTTTTGGAACTGCCGTGGTCTAGGGTCGGACACGGCAGTTAGGGCCCTCTATGGGCTTATTCGTACTAAGCGACCCTCTATGATCTTTTTATCTGAAACCAAGATGAAAGATCATAGAATTGATGGGGTAAGGAGAAGATTGGGCTTTCAGAACGGTTATAACGTTTCTCCTATTGGAAGGGCTGGAGGCCTAAGCTTGTGGTGGGGAGACTCTTTGGAGGTTCAAATTGTTTTCTCATCACCAAATATTATTGATGCGGTTCTGCGAACCAAAGGGGACCACAGCTGGGCTCGAGTCACTGGGGTTTATGGGACCCCTTATAGAAACGAAAACAAGTGTTCTAGGACTGGATGATCCATCATTTTAGTCCTTCGGAGATTCCTTGGATTTGTGGTGGGGATTTTAATGAGTATAATTGGGCTTACGAAAAGGCTGGCGGGGCGGCGGTTCTTTATAATAGGCCCAGGTATTTGGAGGACTTCATGAATTCTTCGAACCTGTTTGATTTGGGTTTCAATGGGCCGACGTTCACTTGGCGTGGTTTCAGATATGGGGAATGGGTGGAGGAACGCCTGGATCGAGTCTTGGTTAATGAGTTATGGCAGGTTCGATGGCCTAAAACCACGGTTACGCATGGAACTGTTTTAGCTTCCGATCATTGCCCTATAATTGTTCAGTCTGATTTGGAGAGGCCGAAAGGCAGGCGGCTGTTCAGGTTTGAAGCCTTTTGGGCTAAAGATGAGGAGTGTCTGCAAGTGGTTAGTTCCTGTTGGGCAAATAGGCGACATGGGGATGCTCTGCCGAATTGGGGGAGGAAACTTAACGCGTGCCGCTCTCGGTTGTGTAGATGGAGCCATACCAAATTTAAAAGGCGAAGCCACCAAATCCAAGATCTCCTTGCTCAATTAGATGTGCTCCAGAAGGAGTGGGGTCCCAACCAAGAAATTATTAAGGAGAAATCTAAGTTAATTGATGAGCTTAGGGCGCAGGAAGAAAGTTATTAGTGTCAGCGTTCTAGGGTTAAATGGCTGCGTGATGGGGATGCTAATACAAAGTTCTTTCATCATTCTACATTGCAGCGGCGTCGACAGAACACCATTGTACGGCTTAAGGGTGAGGATGGGTGTTGGGTGGAGAAACCGGATCAGATTCGACGTTTGGTGGAGAGTCACTTTGTGGACATTTTCAGATCGGCAGGGCATCGAAACTGGGGATCCTTATTGGACTGCGTCCCTCCGGTGGTGTCCGATGCTATGAATATGGGGTTGACTGCGCCGGTATCGGAGGACGAAATTAAGGAGGCTGCTCTGGGTATGGGGTGTTTGAAGGCTCCTGGCCCGGACGGGTTCCAAGGGTATTTTACCAGTCTTTTTGGGAGACTATCAGTGATGATGTTTTAGCGGTGGTTCAGGCTTTGATTCAGGATTCTGTTATACCTGGTACTTTGAATGCTGCTCATATTGTTCTTGTCCCTAAGGTGGCTAATCCGGAATCCGTTTCTTAATTCCGGCCTATTAGCTTATGTAACTTCTCTTATAAAATCCTGGCCAAGGTTCTTGCCAATAGGTTGAAAGTGTTAATGCCGACTATCATTTCTCCCTCACAGAATGCTTTCGTGGCGGGTAGACAAATCCAGGATAGTATTGGTATTGCTCATGAACTCTTTCATTTTTTGAAAGGAAGGACTGCCAAGACTAAATTTGAACTGGGCATTAAACTGGATATGCAGAAGGCTTATGATAGGGTTGAATGGGATTTTCTGGAGGCGGTTATGGAGAAGATAGGTTTCTGCACGTGGTGGCGGAAGCTTGTTATGGGATGTGTGTGCTCGGTTCAGTTTCAAGTCTTGTTAAATGGGCAACCCGGGAATCAGTTTACTCCTTCAAGGGGCCTTCGTCAGGGGGACCCTCTTTCCCCTTACTTATTCATTTTGGTCGGGAAGGTGCTTTCACGGATGATCCAGGGTGAGGTAGTTCATGGGCGGCTGGTTGGTGTGCGGATGGATTTCACGGGACCGCTTATTTCCCACCTGTTCTTTGCTTATGATACTTTAATTTTCCTGCGAGCTGATGCTCAAAATTGTCGGCTTTTGAGAGATCTTCTTGACAAATATTGTCATGCTTCTGGGCAGAAGGTTAACTTGATGAAATCTAGTGTTTTTTTCGAGGCTAATGTTCCGGACTCGCTGTCTACCCAGCTGGGGAGTATCCTTGGTATGGCAGTGGTTGGTAATCCCGGAACCTATCTGGGGGTTCCAGCTATTTGGGGACGGGCTAAGAAGAGGGGGCTGTCTTATGTGAAGGGAAGAATTCTTGAGAAATTGCAAGGGTGGAAACAGAACTCTTTGTCCCGAGCCGGGAAAGAGGTGTTGATCAAGGCGGTGGTTCAGGCTATTCCTGCCTATCCGATGAGTATATTTAAATTCCCTGCAATTGTTTGTCAGGAGATGGATTCTATTGTGGCGGATTTCTGGTGGGGTACCAAGGATGGAGCTCGCAAGTTGCATTGGGTTTCCAAGGAGGTGTTGGGTCTTCCCAAAGACGTTGGAGGGATGGGATTTCGTAATTTCCAGGAGTATAACGATGCGCTGCTTGCCAAGCAATGTTGGCGTTTGGTCTCGGACCCCAATTCTCTGTGGGCTCGAGTTCTAAAGGCTCGGTATTTCCCTCGCTGCAGTATTTGGGAGGCTTCGAAAGGTGGTCGTGCTTCGTGGGCCTGGTCTAGTATTCTTACAGGTAGGGACATGCTCAAGTTGGGGTCCCATTGGCAAATTTTGGGGGGTCAGGACGTGCGGGTGTGGGTGGACAAGTGGCTTCCGTCGCTGCCTTTGGGTCCGTTCCGGTTTCCCCTAATCTTCGGGTGAGCTCGCTTATTTGTCCGAGTTCTCGAAGTTGGGATCTTACGTTCCTGCTGCCTTTCCTTTCGGATTCGGATAGACAAGCTATTGAGGAGACTCCTATTGGTGACTTACGTCGAAATGATCGTATTATCTGGGGAGGTAGTCGGAATGGTATCTACTCGGTTAAGTAGGGCTACCGGTGGATACAATGTCGATCTCTGGACCGCAGGGATAGGCGGCTTTCGAATGTTCGACGGGTTCCCTCGGTGGTTTGGAAGGCTATTTGGAAGCTTGAGGTGCCCCCGAAGTTGCGCCACTTTCTTTGGCTTACTGTTCACAATTGCCTCCCTACTTGTGAGGCTCTGTCTCGCAGAAGATCTCCTATCCCCTCTACCTGTCCTATTTGCCTTCGTCATGCTGAGACTCTTGAGCATCTGTTTTTTACTTGTCCGTGGGTTGAGGTGGAGCCCTGACTTACAAAATTGATCGTGATGCTAGTCTCTCTTGGGTGGACTGGCTTGAGGGAGTTTGGTCTGATTCCTTTGCGTCCTGTGCTAAGGCTAACTGGGTGCAGACTTATACTGCCTACACCTGTTGGTTTATTTGGTTGACTCGATGTGACTTTGTGTTTAATAAGGTAACCATTAATCCTTCTAAAGTGGTTTTTGCTATTTCTTCGGCTGTGGGCTCTTTCTTGGCTGCGAATGCTTCTTTGGGGGTGCCCAGGTCGGGGGGCTCTGGAGGGGTTGTCCCTGTCTTGCGTTGGTGTGCTCCTTCCTCTCCTTTCTTCAAGGTTAATGTGGATGCCAGTTGGTCTAATGTCTCATTGAAGGGTTTTGCTGGGGTGATAATCCGAGGCGCGGGGGGCAGGTTTATTGCTGCTGCTCGATATCCTATCTCTGCTCCTTCGGCTGCTGCAGCAGAGGCTCTCGCTGTGCTCCGTGGGTGTGAATTGGGGGTAGCTATGGGAATCCAGGCGCTGACTGTTGAATCTGACTCCCTTGAGGTTGTTATTGTCTCTCGGTATCTCTTGAGATGGGCAGTTGGGATACCTTCCCTGTTTTGACTCGGGTCAAGCAGCTTGGGGAGGCGTTCCAGTTCTGTCGCTGGTCGTGGGTTCCTCGATCGGTTAATGGTGCGGCGCATGTGCTGGCGTCGGTTGGTTTCCCGGAGATGCGTGAAATTGTTTGGGTCGAGAGGCCTCCATCTTCGTTAGTCTTTGTATTGAACAATGACGGGCTCCCGTGTCCTCATTGATTCCTTTTGGTGGTGTGTGGGGTGACGTCGCCACTTGGTGGTTATGTCTCTATATCTCTTTGTATCCCCGTTCACTACTTGTTTCATGCTCTGTGGTTGCCTCTCTGTAGGCTGTCTTGTTCTCTGGCTTCTGTTAATGCAGTCCTAGCTTTCAAAAAAAAAAAAAAAAAAAAGAAAAAAATTACAAGAAAGTGAAACATGTCATTTGGAGAAGAAGATTGTAGCAGCCTTTGTGTGAAACCCCACCCCAAAATGTCCTGGTAATTTCAATTGTGCCCCTAAAGTTTTTATAAAAATCTGCACTTTGTCCTCTTAAACCTCATCCAACCCGGATCTCAATTGGAGATTACCTCTCCACTCACACGCTGCCACGTGGCAGCACCCCAACTCTCCCCTATCTCTCTTTCTGTCTTTCCCCGAGACCCTCTCAGAGCACTTTTTTCTCTCTCACACTCTCTCTCACTCTCTCTCCCTCTCACCTGTATCCTTACTCTCTACAAACCCTCATCTCCCTCACCATCAAACCAGACAACAACAACAAAATACCATCACCCTTGTGTTCTAAAAATCGAAAGAAGAACACCCTAAACCCTTTTCTCTCTTTCGGTTGGTACTGTTCATCGTCTTCCCCGACGAGTTTCGTGATTTTCCAACTTTGGTAAGCTTCTAAAAACCCTTGGGATGTGTTGTAGGGTTAGATCAAGGTTTGTTTTAAGTTGTTTATACATTTGAATCGCAGAAAATAGCTCGGAGTAGCTTTTCCAAATTTTCAGGCCGAGCACCGCCCCTTTCGAAGCATTTTCCGGTCAAATCACGGCGAGTTAGCCGTCGTGCAAGGTACCATTCTCTTCCTCTCGTCGGGTACTACAACTTTACATTTCGAATCACTCGATTTGGTTGAGTAACGAAGAAGTTATGGGCATTTGAAGTTTGCCCAGAAACCGGCCAAAACCTTGGCCTAGAAATGGGTCAACCCCTACATTATACCTATACTAAAATCCAACACAAAAACACTGTTTATGAACAGTAAACTGGCTGTTTTGCCATTTAATTCCTTTGTGATTTGTTGTTTTTTGACCTTTTAGCACAGCAAAAAGACCATCGTGCCTTCCTACCGCACGCGTCCATCGTCCGTTTAGCTTTTGCTTCTTTTTTTGGTTTTGCTCAGATTTTTTTGGCCTCTGTATTCCACGTGTTGATGATCGGGACGTTTTCTGTTCGGAGGCCTTATTGCTTTTTCTTTCGTTTTCATCGCTCTCTCCTCACTTTTTCCTTTTGTTTTTCCGCTTCTCTCTTTCGCTCTCTGCCTTTCGTTTTCACTTTGTTGTCTTTGTCTTCTCAGCTTTGCTCCTGCGCTTCGCACGCCGACTTCTTCACGTCTGAAGTCTTGCCGTTTTGTGGTTAGTTCTGGGTTTTTTTGTGCACAAGTCTTTGCTGCATTGTTTTGAATGTTATGTGCTTGGGAGTGTAAGTTTGGATTTTAAATGGGTTTTTTGTTAAAATTTTTTGGTTGTGATTTTCGAATTTTTGTTTGTATCTTCGGATTCTAGGTGATGAAGGTTACTTTGGTTTTGTTTTTCAATTTCAGGAGATCGGGTTTTTTGAGTTTGTGACTTTTCTTTGAAGCCTGCGAAGACCTCTGTGTTTAAGGTGAGTGGTTTTGAAATTCCATGATTTTTATTCTTCTTGCAGCATGAGGTGTGATTTTAGATTTGAAATTTCCAAGCTTTTTTATTAATCTTAACCCAAATTAGTTAACTATAATGAATTTTTTTTTTCTTTTCTGATTATGTAGCTGAAGTAGCTAAAGTTAAGAAAGAACAATTGTGGCTTAAAGTCTTCATATTTGAAAGTTGAATCTCAGCCATTGAAAGGCTTTGTGAACGTGTCCTCACGTGTGCAGCAGACCTTCATAGCAATTTGGGGTGAGTCTTCATTATCCAGTACATGTTAAGTTTTAGATAGGATTTAATGCATGCTGAAGATTGGGATTTGGGAAAGTTTTGGAAATTCATGGTTGGATTGTCAATTGGTGTTGGGAATCTGGTTGTTCTGAGAATTAAGGTTAGGATTAGGAGTGGTACCTTTCGGATTTTGGGATTTTTTTTGTCAGATTGCATGCTTCTCAACGTATATGGTTTCAATTTTTTGTTTTTCCTTGGATCGTTTTTTGTGCATGTTTGAAACGTTTTGTTTTACAGTTTCGGGAAACGGTACCTTTCAGATTTTGGCATTTTTTATTTGGATTTTAGTTTTAATTGTCACCTAATTTGTCGATTTGCATTAATCATTTGTTCGTTTGAACTGCAGGAGGTTATGATATGGAGGAGAAAGTTGCTAGAGCATATGGTCTTGCTGCTCTTAAGTACCGGGGTTCTTCAACTCATATAAACTTTACGGTAGGGTTCTGACTCTTGGAGTTTTTATCAATTTGTGAAAGCTTTTTAGTAGCTGAAGTTTCATTCTCTTGGTCTTTTGGCAGTTGGATATTTACACTGCACAACTTGAAGAGATGAATAACAATAAGCTGGCGGAATATATTGCGCATCTGTGAAGGTAGCGATTTTGATTTGTTAATCAGAAGATTGTTTTCTAATGTTTTAAAATTTTTTATGAGTATTCATCAGTTCCTTTGATTTTCACGAAAAGCAGTGGATTTTTAAGAGGGCCTTCGCTGTACCGAGGCATGACAAGGTTTTTTCGGTTTTGCATTTAAACGCACCAAATTTGAAGGTTAAAAGGGTTAATATTGTTCTAATTTTGGTTTTGTTTTCTGATCTTGGTTTTCTGCAGACATCACAGGCATGGGAGATGGCAAGCTAGGATTGGCCGAGGTACTGGGAAGCATCTTTATCTTGGAACTTTTGGTAAAATTCATACATTGTTTGAATTCGTTTTGTTTTCGGTCACATTTTCTAAATTCCATAAGGCTCTTTGCTTAAGCACTTCTTCAAAAGGACTTATTTTTACAGCAACTCTGTTCTCACACTTTTTATAATGCTGATGAAATGTCTTTGCTTTTAATTGTAACAATGAACTATTCTTTTAAAGGCTGTTTTTAGAAAAAGACTTTCCAGCTAAAATCACTTATAAAGGCTATATTTTACTGCAAAGTTTTGATCTTTCTTGCAAAGCTAATTAATGCAGTTTCGTACAAAAGTCTAAACTTGAATTGAATTTTAGGCACCCAAGAGGAAGCTGCAGAAGCTTATGACATAGCTGCAATCAAGTGCCCTAGGACGACTCCAACCAGTAACCCAACTATGGACTATATCAAACAGCTGATTCTGAGCACGTTCTGAAGAGATCAAGACCTTTCGAGATAACAGATGAGGTATAAATCTATCCGTTAATTTTTGCACATTCTGATTTATCTGATGGAAGTCTGAGTTACATTGCTAAATTTGAAGCGTTTCTTTCTTATGACATATTTTTTTGACCGTGTAATATTAAATTACAGAAATAAATGCATTTCATATCCTTAATGTATTGTTCCATAAAAGGTAGGTAGCGAAATTGTTCCCTAAAAGGCCAGTAACAAAAAGGTAAGTTTAGATTATCCAAAATACTAGAACATGGCTGATCATGAAGGATGCTTAACAGAATTAAAAGAATTTTTTTTTTCTTATAAACATGATGCAAATGGTCTTGCAGTTCCCTTTTTTTTATGAGCTGTGTGCAACTTTTATGCCAAAAATTTGTATAGCTTTATTTTACAGAAAAATTTCAAGTTTCAACTTCTTAGTTTATGTAATTGATTCTATATTAACACAATTTCTAACAGGGCAATAATCTGCCAGTAAATATGTTGCCTGTTGCGTATCCTAATCAGAGCCATGGTCAGAGTTCCTACTCTTCTAATGACTTGCCCAAGTCTGTTGTTTATGACTTTACGTCCAGGTTCAACTGTCAAGAGTATGGATTTCCACCCAATGCAACAAATTTTACTTCTTGGTAAGCTCTAGAAAGCTGACCTCCAATTCCACTCATTGTGAATTATTGTATTTGTATGTCTTTTTTATGTCATTGTTTCAAATGTTTGGATAATACTTCTCTTTTTAGTAATAAGCGATTTTATGATGATTTCAGTTGGAACAAAACATGGACGATGTCATGCTATATGAGCTACCAAAGCCATGAAAAAAAGATTGCTATTAAGAACTTCAAAGTTTTGGGACCTTGGAGCTGTTCAGCGGCTCTGCAGGTTTGGCTCTTGATATATTCTGTAAAATAAAGCTATACAAACTTTCAATGTGGAATTGGCATGCTATAACCTTCAATGTTATCATACATAATGAAAGGGAATACGACTTATCTAGAAAAATATGAAATCTTTCATTGTAATTTTGGCTATATATGATTGGCTTCTGTTTTTCGTTTCAGAACGCATAGTTTTGGATGATATTGGATTGAAAAGCTTTTCTGTAAAACTTATAGTTATTTAGAGTGTTTTTATCCGTCTTTCTGCATTTACTGTCATAAATTATACCTGATTTGTTAAATCTCTTACCAAAATAAGCAAATCATTTTGTAAATTTATTCGTATTCTAGCAGGAACTGCAATGCAGATATAAAATCAGTGTTATTCCAGACAAAACCTTTATTCACAACATTGGGTGTGATTATTCAAAGTTTCAATTCATTGTACCTAAATTGAAACAATTTACTACAACACAACCTTTGTTATATTTTAAACATAATCTTTCATGCATTTTCTAATCCCGCAGCAACGCGCGGGTAGTACTTTCTAGTATTAACCTAAGGTCCAACCCCTTAACCCAAGCCCAGACTTTAAGACCCAACCCAGTTTTCAAACCGGGCTTTCAAGCCCAAATCCTTAAAACCCAAAGCCCAAAACCCTCTTTATTTATTTAAATTTTGTTTTTATTTTATTGTTTTGAAACCCAAAACATTTGGGCCAGGCTTCAATGCCTAGCCCATTTAGAAACCCTAAAACCCTAGGCCCAACCCGGTCCAACCCAAACCCTTTGACCCGGTTTGACTTGTTGACCGGCTAACGGTCAACGTTGACTTTTCGTAGACCTTTTTTTTGAGTTTTGTTTGGGACTTCTCATAAGCTAATTACGACGTCTTGAACCCGTTTATGGCGTCTGCTTCCTAAAATTCATTCGTTTGAGTATAGCTTTGTTAAGTGTACTCTTTATGTGTTTAGGTGCAATTAATAGTGACGATTCCGTTATTTCCTATTGGTAAGGCTTTGTACCAACGATGTATGGTGATTGGACCCCTTCTAAAATACATGTTTTATAGTAGAAACACATACATGAAAAACATGATTTAATGATTACATTTTATGAGAAATTGATTATCATGCTATATTGAGCTTACTTTGAAATACCATATTTTCTATCAAAATCATGTTCTTGTAGGGTATCTAATGGATGACGATATACTATGTAGAACATGTTTTTATAACACTTATTTATAGTATAGATGATGAATGACTTTATACTATGAAGATGCTTTTGAAATATATGTACCTATGTTTTGGAAATAATATGTTCAATGATTTTGTGCATATCTAATGGTCACTATATATATTGCCTTCGGGCGGGCGTGTGTAGGGCACTGTTTTGTGCATAAGAGAGATACTGATATTGATACCACTAGTTAGCATACTACATATGAGATACGTTTTGTAATGTTTTATGGCATGCTAGGGTTTTCGGAAAAACCTATTATATATTATACTATTGAGATTTCATAAAACTGTAGGGGTTAGTATGTTGATAACTGTTTTATTATATATATATATATATCAATTTGGTTCATTCATGTTTGTTTTGCGCCTCTTTGAGGATTTAGAATCGAGACATACAATCCCAGCGTTAAGGCACTTCCGCATCGATATCTTCGAGTCTTTTCGGTGTAGGACCCATCCCTTTGTTCGTTCTATTTTATATTTTTTTTAGTGTTCTAGTTAGTTGTATGCTCTGAACACGTTTCTTAAATGCATATTAATTACCATTAAATTCATAAGTCTTATTTATTCCTCGTTCTCATGCATTTCTAAATGGCTTGCGTCACCCTCGGGTGTCGGCCAGCACGTGACCATCTCGATATCCTGAGGATATCGAGATTGGGGCGTGTCACTTTGTTTGGTTGGACTTGTTGTGTAATATTGATAGAGCATTGATATGCCAATCCTATACATATTTACTCCTCTCATTTATGCCAAACCTACACAAGTACATGTACTTGTGGTAAGGTGAGTCCGGCAAGGCACACAGTGACATTGTAAACACAATTATCTTCTTTGCATGGATCAGATTATACCACATCTTACTTGACTCTGGGGTTGTCCACAACCACACCTTAAACCTTCCTTTGAAAAGTTGGGAGTAGAGATGGGCAACGGTTATGGCAAGAGGGTAATCGCGATTATTTACCCATAACCGTTTATGTTTATACCCGCATAACCATTTACCCGTTGGATAATTACATAAATGGTTATACCCATAACCATAACCGTTTATAAACGGTTATCCATACCCATAACCGTGTACTCATTTACCCATAACCATTTACCTATTTAACTCACCCCATTCTTCTTCATCTTTTCTAAAAGAAAACCTAGCTACTCAATTTCTCTCAACCCTAGCCGTCCCTTGTCCAATTTCTCTCAACCACGGCCTCCATTTTAGGGTTGAGAGTCCATAACCATTTACCTATTTAACTCACCCCATTCTTCTTCATCTTTTCTAAAAGAAAACCTAGCTACTCAATTTCTCTCAACCCTAGCCGTCCCTCGTCCAATTTCTCTCAACCACGGCCTCCATTTTAGGGTTGAGAGGGAGAGACTCGTCGGGATTTCGGGAGGGACGTGCGGGTGGGTGTCCTGTGGCTGAAGCATCGGTCAGAGGGTTGTTGGGGGGAGGGGAGGAGGGGGACAGAGGGACTGACGGATTGGAGAGAGATGGGAGCTATGGGTTTGGATTGAGTGAGAGAGAGATTTAGGTAGGTTAGGGCCTATGCGATTTTCTTCGATTTTAGAGAGAGAGATGGAAAGGGAGATAGAAGATAGGGAGGGAGAGGAGAAAGCATGGTTGTGTGCATTTTTTGGGATTAATTAATGGGTTAGTACACAGGGTCAGTGAGGAGAGAATGACAGAGGGATGTATGGGAGGGTATGGGTTTTCAGTTTTTTTTCCACTGATTCAACAGGTAATGCACTGTTTAAAATTCATTGTTTATTGTCTCCTGCTTTGATTTCGTTGGTTCTTCTTTAGGGTTTTCTTTGGTTGTCTCGCTGATCTTCCCTACTTTTGGCTTGCTTTTCTTTGTGTCTCAAAGCTTGCTCTTTCGCCACTTCTGATTTTTCCATCTTTTTTTTTGCCCAAGTGAAGAGCCAGTGTGTTTTTTTTATAGTTGGAAAGGATTGGATTCCTATAAATTTCATTTTTGGGTCGCGGTTTCTAACTTTTGCTGGGAAAAAAGGGTTGAAATCGTTGTTGTGCGATAGGGTTATCGCAAAAACAGAGGTTCTTTTTTACTCATCAAAGATGGAGTGTTCTGTATCGCCTTTGTTGGTAATTTTTTTGTTGGTGCTTCCGACCTTTTCCGGTGAGTTTTCTGATTTTCTTGCTTGCTTATTCTTAATCTTTTTTATTTCGTTTTGGATTTGTTAGTTTATCTTTTTTGCATCTGAGTATGTGATTCGATGTTTTAGATTGGATTTTTATGGTTTTGAGTTTGTGGGGTTTTTTTTGGGTTCCTGAGACAATGTTATCCAATGGTTTTGATTGAACATTTTCCCTCAATCTGTTGCAACTTTGCTGTCGTAGTACCCCTTTGTCAAACTTTGTTTTGTGTTTTTTATTTTTATTTCTCTGTGCAGCTTTTGTAAAATTGAAGTGGGAGTTTGACGGATGTTGATCAAGCCCCCAGTTTATTAACGACGAGAACAACACTGACCCAAAATTCGAAGAAAAATTTAAACACAGAAAAGCGTAGGATCCTGGTAAGTTTTACGGCAGAATTGGGCAGGTAATTTTGTGATTAGCAATTTATTTTGTGAATTGATTGATGGGTTTGGTTTCTGGATTCTCTTTTCTTTGCTGAATGTCCACATGTGTATTTGTTTACATAATCATTGGTTGGTTATATGCATGTATAATTACTCTTTATTATTTAGGTAAAATAGTTTTTGTTAGTTAGAGGGCAGTAGAGAACAAGCAATAAGGTAAACCATATGGTTGCATAGAGATCATGGGTACATATTTATTAATTAGATTTAACCAATGATCATTGGTTGGTTAAATGCGTGTATAGTTATCCTCTATTAGTTAGGTACAATAGTTTTTGTTAGTTACAGGGCAGTAGAGAACAAGTGATGAGGTGAACCGTGTGGTTGGATAGAGATCATGGGTACATATTTGTTAGTTATGTTTAGTCAATGATTATTTGTTTTGTCAATGTATTGTAACAAATTTCTTTGGTATATAGGTGTCTGATAAATTTTAACTGTGTGTCCTGGCTGAAAGCAAATAATTTTTGTTCGCAATTGATACAAAGGCAAAAGAAAAGAGGTAAAGAGTGCTGTTTTGTCCTTTCGATTGGTTCTATGTGGTTTTTAATGTTAATTGTTCAAATTATTTTGAATTTTCTTTACCCTCTGTTTCATATCTTTATTGCTTATTTTCCTGGTGTTTATTGGTGATTCCATTTCTTTTGTGTATGGAGATTAACTGTGTTTTGTTTGTAGTCATTGTTGTTTTTAGCATTTGAATTAGAATAAAAAAAAAAAAAAAAAAAAAAAAAGGTCGTACCCAGTGCACAAGGCTCCCGCTTTACGCAGGGTCTGGGAGCTCTATCAGTTTTTGGATTCTGTTTATTACGTTTGGACTACAATTTTCGACTTGGTAATAAGTGCTGGTTTTTTTTTTTCTTCCAGGATTTGAAAGTGTTTTGCTCCTCCTCTTTGGTGCATTTCTCTTTCAAGATCTCCTGTGTCAAAGGTGAGTGATTTAGAGTTTTTGGATAGTTAATTTTTCATTTTTTGGTTCCTTGTTTTGATTCTGTTTTCTAAGATTGGAATAAATTTCATCATTACCTTTCTCTATAGTTCTGTTCAAATTGAATTTCAATCGGTGAAAGTGATAGGAGTTTGTCACTGTGTGAATGATCCCAGTGGCGCTGGTTTTCAATTCTGGTGATTTCTTGGGTTCTACGGTGCGTAGTGTTTAGGGATGTGGTTTGGCTTTGTGGGTAGGCAATTTTTTACTTGAATTTATTTCCTTTTTTTTCTCAGATTTGTTTGACGGCATGGTTTTTCGGTCCTTTACTGAATAGTTGTTTAAAAAATGTTAGATTTTTTAATTGCTTTGATTTCTTTCGAATTTGTATTTTATTTTATTTTTGAGCCTTGAATTTTGTAAGGACTGTTTCATTTTTAAAGAGGTGGTTTGACCCCCATTGACGAATTTTTTAACAGCAGCTTCAAATTAATCTCTCTCCTCTCAGTCGGTCATCTGCTCTGTTTCTTCTACAGTTATATCTATGTATACAGTTATGTACATACATATAATCAATTTCTACTATAATTTACATCTATAGAATGAAAATTGATTTTTTTTATTTGGGTTTCTAAGTTCCGAGGACGAGTTCGTCACGGCCAAAGTTGATACTTTTGATTCCAAAGTTGCCTCCTTTATATCTCACAAAACAGTGCTACAATTCTCACAAGGTATCTTTAGAAGAAAAAAAATATTGCTTTTTACCAGTAATTTTAATTTTTTTTTATTTTCTTATGAAATTTGGATTTTTGTGTTTTGGATTTGACAAAAATTCTTGAATTTTATCAGTAAATTTGTGTTTCTTTCTCGATTTTTTTTGAAATTTTGACAAATGGGATTTTGTTAAAATTTTGTATCTCTCCATGAGTGATGCAAAGTGGTTGTGCTTCATGTTGTAGTAACCTCGGGTGTGTTATTGTTCGAAGATCTCTTGCCGTCTCTGTGATTCTGGTTTAACCCAGTGTTCTTGATTCTTTATCGACTGTTGTTAGGCATTTTATATGCTTTTTTGGTTGCTTCCTTTCTTTGTTGTGTTTTTAATTTTCCAAATCGTTGTTCAGATCATTTGATCCGTACTTAGTTAAGTTTAATACTAGCGGTTTGGCTGTGAATGAATTAATCTAGTCTCGAATAGTGTGGCATGTGAGATGATAATAGACTAACAGAGGAAAAGGAGTTGAAGCATCTGTGTTTGATTTACAAATTTTGGCAAATCTTTGCCATTTTTTTGGTTTCCTGGTGATATATATCTATCTTCATAACCAAATAGCGATAATTTTGAGTTTCTAGAAGTTTAATGTGTTTCGCATCCTGCATTTTTGTAACGTCCGTACAAGTTGTCACTAAGATCTTTTGGTTTTTGGCTACTTTAGTTTTTCATCATTGAATTGTAGGATTAAAGTTTTTGATTGAGTTCTTATTTAATTTCAGATCGGAATGGGTACAATCTGAGCACTCCTAAAACTGAAAAGTTCTCCAAAGATTGTGTGAATGGATGTGTCAGATATGGTTTATCGTCCATGCAAGGATGGCGTACCACAATGGAGGATGCTGTGAGTGCATTAAACTTTTCTCTTCCTATTTGAAGTTTTCAGAACATAAATTCTTCTATGTCCATTCTTAGAAGTTTCTACTGTTGTATTCTTTTCCGTCTTTATTTAACATGCTATAGTTAGGATTCAACTAAATATGATTTTACGTGACATGTTCAAATCCTCTTAATCATGTTCTTGAATTTTACTGTATGTATCGTGTTCTTTGCATTTCATTTTCTAAACTCTGTTGTTTAGATTTGGTTACCTGAATCGTGCCTAATATTTGATGTGGCCGGTGGCCTTGTATGGGTGGCTGGTGTGATTTGGGAGTGTTTTTAGTCAATGGGAGACAAAGGACAAAGGTGTGGGGCAGCGAAGTCAAGTGGGATTAGGAATTTAGGATAGTAGAGTTTTTGCTAATTTATGGGATTAGAAGTCTTCTTTTATTTTTGTCTTGGACCAAGCATGAAATCCGAAGCACTATATCATCACAAAGCAAGCAAGCTGAAAAGCAATCCGACAAACCCTTTTTCCATAAGCACTTAACAGAACCTTTCTGTGGGTTAATTGTTGTTTCAATTATACCAGATTGAAAAGGAGTATGGAACCATTGGTCAAGCATACGGAGCTGTTGCTTTTTTTTTCTTAGGGAAATAGAGCATATTTTGCAACCACATCTTTTGTAATCAGCTCGGTTGAATGTATATAAAAATTAAGTTGCTTATGTTACGGACACTGTTCACTTATCTATCACTTTTGTTTATTCATGATTATATTGAATTATTTTTTCAGGTTAATTGTGTTTTATTCATGTAGTTAAGGCTGATACATTCAAGTCCCGCAGTAACGCGTGGGCATATTACTAGTGTAGATCTATTTTTATTTTGTTACTTTTCTCCTGCCTTTTGTGTTTTGTATGACTTTTTACTTGTTTTAACACAACAGGCACAAGTTTTCTACTGAAAGGATTTTTGGAATGGAAGGGGTAGGAAAGAATACATCACCAATGATTGATTTAGTGGTAAGTAAATGAACCGATTTATTATTTCTTTATTTACTTTTTAGTATACATGTTTTAGTTTTGTCTCATTGGCATCAGTTCCTCTGTTTTGTGCAATCATCAGTGAGACGAATGGCTCCAGATTGCGATATCAATAAAGTATATGCTCACTTTTATTTTGTCAGCCGTTTGTGTGTTTGCCTATCTTTGTAACTGTGCTCAAGCTAAAACACCAAAAGGGCACTGACTCTACCAAACGACCATTAAGATATCTTGTAGGATCTTCAAAGGCCGTGGAAGTTCATTTGAATAAATCGATACCAAATTAGGATGCTCATTGTGTGGCTTAGTCGAACTCCTCATCCTTTTAGTGTAAAAATATCAATGGGGTAAAACACCTGATGAATTAATTTTTTCATAAGGCCAAATCCTCCCCGACCCCATTTATCTCCCCAATTGGACATCACTATGTAGTAACATTTGTTGTTTTCAACTGACTTTGAGCTCGTTAAGCAGCAAATCATTTGAAGGTAGTGTTATGGGATAATATACAGACGAATTAATTTTTTCTCCAAAAGACCAAATCCTCCCCGACCCCATTTATCTCCCCAATTGAACATCGCTGTGTAGTGTTTGTTGTTTTCATCTGACTCCTCACGCTCTCCACTGCCTTCCACAGCGACTTGCTTTAGGTTTCCAACGTTTGGTAGAGTCAAGGCTTTTCCCAGATTCTTCATCATCAGTATACCCCATCCCCACCATTACCATTGCATGGAATTCAAAGTTCTCATCTTCACTATTCATGTTTTGGTATAAACGTCCGGTAAAAAAAAACATTAGTCAATATTTTTAATACTCAACAAACAATTGTAACTTACATAACAATTTTTACTATTTACATCACAATTTTTAGATTTTAGATTTTACATAACTTGCCTAGCATGAACATGAAGTTGATACCATTGCATACAATTTTTACTATTTACATCACTTGCCTAGCATAAATGTTTTTACGCATTTTAGATTTTACATAACTTGCCTAGCATAACAATTTTTAGATTTTACATAACTTGCCTAGCATGAACATCCACCATAAATTTTTTTCCTATTTTATTCAAAACAGTTATTTAATGCGTAGAAATGGATTAGACATTAAATTCCGATATTATGTGAAATTAGTTGCTGAGTATCCTATGCTACCTTACGCCTTTTATGGATGCATTTAAATTATGACATGGAAATTGAATAAATGGAAAATTACATTTTGTTATTTTGTTTGGCTTTGTTAGTAGTAGATATGCAGTATGTTGTGATGTCACTTTAATTTCATTTGTTTGCAAATTATTTTACTCCTTTTTGTTTATTTCATCAGCAGTTTGTGTGTCGGCTTCCCTGTGTAATTGTGTTTCGGCACATTACAGCTCCGATACTAGCCGATGAAGAAGATAAAATTTCAGTTCTTGCATTAATGGACCTAATGGCCCCGAACTGTGATATTTCTGTACTGGACGGGCTAAAGTATGTGTCGAGATTTGGAATTCCTTTAAAGAAGTATTGGAAAACCTGATGAAATGCACCAAACATCCCACAGGTTAGTCTTATTATATATATATATATGTTAATATATACATTATTATGGATCAAAATCTATTAATATATCTATATATATAAAGGGAGTAGCCCAAATCGGTGAAGTTTTCAATATTCCAATTATGTCCTCATTTCATAAAAAAAAACAACACAAAACCATTCCTATATAGGACTATAATTGTAATACACAAATAAAATAGGGTTAAAATTGTAATACAAAAACATGAAAGGCGCCTAGATTTTTAGATTGATTCTAACCCGTTGATTACTTATATCTATACACAGTGAACTTTCCACAAGCAGTTATAGCGGTTGCAAAGTTACACGATCAAACTGTACTGTTTTGGAGAAATCAACTCAACCTCCCATACCCTGAAAAAAAGAGAAAGAAAAACAGATAGAAAAGAGACGTGCTGAACTCCTTCATTTTAGGAGAAAGAAAAACCCGTGGCGGAAGATGTTCAGTAACTCCTCCATAAGGCCAAATCCTCCCTGACCCCATTTATCCCCCCAGTTGCACATCACTATGTTGTAGTGTTTGACTTTCCTGTCTTCATTTAACTCCTCACCCTCTCCACTGTCTTCCTCAGCGTCTTCATCGCTTTCCTCGCAGTCTTCGCTGATTTCATTAGATTTGCCTTCAATAATGCTTTCTTCGGTTTCTCCACCATCACTATATCCCCATCCTACTAATACCATTGCATGCAATTCTAAGTTCCCACCTTGGCGATTCATTTCATAGGTATAAATTCCTTGTAAAAAAGATACAAGTCAATATTTAATCAACAAACATAACTTACACAACAATTTACTACTTACATCTTTGTGATCATACACAGCGTCACTCAAGGAAGCATCGCAAATAAGGGGAAACTGTCGGAGCATAAATTCAATGGTGGCCGTATGGTTGCCAATACTTTTGTAATTGGCAATCCTATACTTGTAAAGCTTTTCCTACATAATAATACTAGTCTCTCAACACGCACTCACACGCGTGTGAGAAGTCTTTTTTTTTTTAGGAGTAGGATTCTCTCGCCTTCTATTTTCATCTGCAATTGAGTAGGTGTAGATGTGAAAGGAGGGGAGTGAAGGGGATGAGAATAGGAGGGGAGATAATCCTACCCCTTAAAAAAAGGCTTCTCTCATGCGCGTGAGCGCATGCGGAGAGGCTAGTATTATTATGTAGGAAAAACTTTACAAGTATATGACTGCTGATTACAAAAGTATTGGCAACCATACGTTCACCATTGAATTTATGCTCAGACAGTTTCCCCTTATTTGCGATGCTTCCTTGAGTGACGCTGTGTATGATTACAAAGATGTAAGTAGTAAATTGTTATGTAAGTTGTGTTTGTTGAGTAAATATTGACTTATATTTTTTTTACAAGGAATTTATACCTATGAAATGAATCGCCAAGGTGGGAACTTAGAATTGCATGCAATGGTATTAGTAGGATGGGGATATAGTGATGGTGGAGAAACCGAAGAAAGCATTATTGGAAGCAAATCTAATGAAACTAGCAAAGACCTCGAGGAAAGCAATGAAGAAGCTGAGGAAGACAGTGGAGAGGGTGAGGAGTTAAATGAAGACAGGAAAGTCAAACACTACTACATAGTGATGTGCAACTGGGGGAATAAATGGGGTCAGGGAGGATTTGGCCTTATGGAGGAGTTACTGAACATCTTCCGCCACGGGTTTCTCTTTCTCCTAAAATGAAGGAGTTCAGCACGTCTCTTTTCTATCTTTTTCTTTTTTTTTCAGAGTATGAGAGGTTGAGTTGGTTTCTCCAAAACAATACGGTTTGATCGTGTAACTTTGCAACTGCTATAACTGCTTGTGGAAAGTTCACTGTGTATAGATATGAGTAACCAACGGGTTAGAATCAATCTAAAAGTCCGGGCGCCTTTCATGTTTTTGTATTACAATTTTAACCCTATTTTATTTGTGTATTACAATTATAGTCCTTCTATATAGGAATGGTTTTGTGTGTTTTTTTTTTAATGAAATGAGGACATAATTGGAATATTGAAAACTTCACCGATTTGGGCTACTCCATATATATAGATTTTGATCCATAATAATGTATATATTAACATAATAAGACTAACCTGTGAGATGTTTGGTGCATTTTGTCAGGTTTTCCAATACTTCTTTAAAGGAATTCCAAATCTCGACACATATTTTAGCCCGTCCAGTACAGAAATATCACAGTCCGGGGCCATTAGGTCCATTAATGCAAGAACTGAAATTTTGTCTTCTTCATCGGCTAGCATCGGAGCTGTAATGTGCCGAAACACAATTACACAGGGAGGCCGACACACAAATTGCTGATGAAATAAACAAAAAGGATAAAATCATTTGCAAACAAATGAAATTAAAGTGACATCACAACATACTGCATATCTACTAACAATGCCAAACAAAATGTACTCGTATATTAGCTCTTGTGTTTATATGGTTCTGAGCCTTCTAGTTAATTAACATTAATTTTTGGTTCCAATTGAAAAGCGATTAAATGATTATTTATCTTATAGTTGTTTGAGATAAAGATTCAAGCTCTACTTATCCAAATGAACCTGATCATAGTTGAAATGGTCGTTTGGTCGAGTCAGAGCCCCTTTTGGTGTTTTGGCTCGAGCACACGAGCCTCCAGCTTCCCATGGTTATGTCAATGTGATAGACTAAGTTTGTGTTGATCCGTGTGTACTTCGCAAATCCTCTGGGGTAAAAAAAGGAGATGAAACAAATACATGATATAGATCAGATACCAGACATTTCGGTACAGGATATTCCGACTTGGTGAATTTCTTAGTACAACTCGGGAATCATTGATATTAAGGAAAACTAATGAAAGGTAAAAAAAAACTTCTTTTTTAATGAAAAGCCTTTTTTAAAGGTATAGTGAATGGTTGGTTTTTTGTTAAAAGTGAACAGTACTGGAAGTGTTTTGTTAAAACTCTCTTGATATTATTAATACGACAGTTGAATAATTTTCGATATCGTGTCCGTTATGTTACAGTAGTAAACCTACATGGCAAGCAACTTACAACATGGCATTTGAGTCATTGGGCGGCTTGACCAGCGGCGGTTTGTTTTTCATCGAGCGTATGCAAATTACCCTACACTCGCCAACGTAGCAATCTAATCGAATAACGCGACACCATATGTTTTAGTTTTGCAACATGACATTACATAATTCATCCGAAATATGCTACGGTAGTATACAGGAGTTGTTGTTCTCTATGAATCATAGACTATGATTGTACAATGGATAGGGGATCAAGAAAATAATATAACGCATATAATTGTGATGAATAATTAATAAAGAAAACTCTCAAGTTTAAACCTCACAGTATCCATACAAAACTTCCAAACCATCCAAATAGAAGCTACGACTCAACTTCCCAGCCTCGCATGCATGATGCATGGCATTTGGATAATACGCAAGACCACGCTACAGAAAAGTTTAATTGGGATTGGTCTGCTGTGCTATCGAAAGCCCAGAAATAGAATACACAACTTTACCAGGTGACATACTACATTCGGAACTCTCTAAGACTGATGAGACGCTCCAACATGGTCTTCGACGGTTTCAGCTTCTCAGTCTGCTCTGAGTTTGGTTTTTCCGGAGTCAAAGAGAAAGAATAACGGATAACAAGTAGCAAGATAATTTTACTGGCATTGTTGGTGGATTAACAATCCCATTTATTCAGTTTAAGGGATATATCATAAACCATATCTATAAGCTTGAAGGGAATGTCACTTGAGTAAAAGTTGAGCAACAAATTTTATGAGGGATTAACATGAAGTAATTACATACCTGCTGAATTTGAATAGCAATTTTCTGATGCATTTCACTTAGGTCGGATAAGTACATTGCTGTCATGACTTTGATCTGCAAATGAAAGTCCGCAATACAGAGATGATTAGAAAGATCATTGTTGCAGCTGCATAGTCACTCGTGTATCCAGTTACAGTTTTTCATTTTAATGCTTCAAATTTCAAGAAAAAATGCCAACAGAAAAGAGATCATGCATACTTGGGCCAGTGCTTCAACCAACCCAATGCCAAGAAGCCTTTGCAAGCTTGGGCTTTTAATACATTCAGCCCATAGTTAAGCTAGGGTTTGTGAATTTCAGGTACCGATCACGACCACAATGATCGAATTTTTAACCAGTTAGGAATTTGTTTTTGTTTAGGTTTCTGATTGCACTTCCAAACTGCAGTGAACGATTGAGTGTGTAATTTTTTGTTTACCCTAGTCTTTCTAAACCCTAGCTTCGGATTTCTTGCCTACTAGCTTCCCTGCACACGATCACGTACGAAAGGTATTTTTTAATCACACACATTTTATTGTAATGAATTAGTGACACATACAAAAAAATGTAAAAACATAAGTGTACCGAAAAGTCTCAACCAAAATATTTTCTTATATAAGATGCCATAAATTGGTGATGCAAAATTTCAACAAATAAAAGCTATTTCATTTGAATTTCAAATGAGTATTAAAATTTACAACAATTTTTTATAAAATTTAATTCATAGACACCATAAAATTATAAAATCAAATAGGGTAAGGTACAAAAAACTACCTCAACTATTGGTGTCACGATACTTTCATACCTCATCTTTTAAAATTGACAATGTCATACCTCATTTTACACATTTGTGCCAATGTCATACCTTCTGTTAACCTGACCGTTAATTTGTTAGTTAAATGCTGACGTGGCTTGATTCGGAACCCCCTTTCTATTAAAAAATTAATAAAATATTATTAAAAACTAAAAAAAATTATTTAATATTTTTTAAATATTAAAATAATAAAGAAAAGTAAAAAAAAAAAAACAAACAAAAAAGCAAAGCTTCGTCCCTCCCTCCTCTTCTCCCCCATCTACCAGCTGCAACCCAGAAAAAAGAAGGGAAAAAAAAACACCTACCTTCGTCCCTCCCCCCGCCGGCGTCATTCTCTCCCCACACCTGCAACCCAAAATCCACCACCCCCCCCAACCTGAAGAAGAAGAAGGAGGAAGAAGAGAGAAGGAAAGAAAAAAAAAAAGGAGGAGGAGCAGTTCGTCCGTCCCCCACTCCCCCCAACCCAACCTCCAGAAGAAGAATGAGAGAGTGAGGGAGAAGAAAAAAAAAAAAAAAGAAGAAGGAAACCAGTTCGTCCGTCCCCCCCCCTCCTCCCCACCCAACCTCCTGAAGAAGAAGAAGAAGAGAGAAAAAAAAAACCCCCAGTTTGTCCCTCCCCCCTAAAGCCAACCTGTAACCCAGAAAGAAGAAGAAGAAGAAGAAAAGAGAAACCCAGCTCGTCTGTGCAGAAGAAGAAGAATAGAGAGAGAAAAGAAAAAGAAAAAAAAAAGGATGCAGAAGGAGAAGAGAGAGAGAAAAGAAAAAGAAAAAGAAAAAATATTAAATGATTTTTTTTAGTTTTTAATAATATTTTAATAATTTTTTAATAGAAAGTGGGGTTTGAATCAAGCCACGTCAACATTTAACTGATAAATTAACGGCTAGGCTAACGGAAGGTATGACATTGACACAAATTCGTAAAATGAGGTATGATATTGTCAATTTTAAAAGATGAGGTATGAAAGTGTCGTGACCCCTATAGTTGAGGTAGTTTTTTGTACTTTACCCAATAAAATAAAGAAGAAGAAGACATTGAATGCATATGATGATATTAAATAGAATCTAGGGACTAAAATCAATTTTTATTCTTGTACAAGACATTTTTCTAAACTTGATTTTATTTAAGGATTAAAATCTAAATTTCTAGGCATTAGCATGGTCTGTCTAGAAGTAGCATCAACATTAGTAGCAGCTATGCTCCCAAATGTTCCGCTAATACCCTGAATACTTTTCTCAATAATATTCCCAAGCTTTCGAAGCATACAACGAATGGAAGCAGCCACTGCCATTGCCATTTGATAAACCCAATTTTAAAATTTGAGTGTGATTGTAATCTTAGGCATTGGACCTGTGCAATCTGATAGCTAAAAGCATGTGTACAAATATTTGTTCATTGATCATACTATTCTTTTGGAATATTTCCTAGCACGAGTGGTAAATAATTATCAATGAGACTAGTGCCCCATCATTCATCGCCTTCATCGCCTTCATCGCCTTCATCGTCTCCATCGTCTCCATCGTCTCCATCGCTTCCATCGCCTCCATTCTCTTCATAGTCTCCATCGGCTTCTTGCCAGATTTTATAGACTGACAAATGAAATGCAAGATAATTAACAACGCCAACTATCACTGTATTTTAAACTTCAGTGACAATATATTACCTAACTCCCAACTCCTACACATAAAAACTCATGTCCCTAATCAATTTTAAAAAATTGTCTAGTGAGACGGTCGGCCATGTGTGTGTTTTAAGGGCTTCAAACAGATACTTACCTCTATATTTGATTTCCTTCCTGGTGTCAAGTATTCTTTCCAACAAGCCATCGGAGTTGACATCCCCAAACAATATGGTTTCCTTTCTGTCACCAATCATCCTAACAAATATTGCTCGGTACAGCTTCTTTTCATAAGTTGTGGCACAAGCGGCCTCCAAAGTTAGATAAAAGTAACTAACAGGAAGGCAGGACAAATGTTGGTATGCCTCCACCACGCTCAAAAAATGCAGTTGGAGGCCCTAAAAAAGAAGCCATGCAGACCGTCATATTTAAACAAGTGCACTACTAAAGATCACTTGTAAAACAGAACATGCTAAAGTAAGAAGTAGAGCAGCAGCAGCTTTTACAAAAGATTGGTTTTAACCTTTTTTCCGCTGATTTCTTGCACGACGTTACTGGCAATATCCTTGGTCTTAGAACAATGCAGATACAACGGAAAGAAATGACCAGCTCCAATCTGTTTAAAGAAATGCAAGCGGAACAACGTTAGCAACATACAGACCTTATTTTATGGTACTATATGCAAATGCAAGTGTGTAGTCAACTATGTGTATTAATTAGAACAAAAGTTGAAGCGCTGCGGTTGAATTTTGAGTTCTAATTGCAGACAAAAAAGGGTAATAAACAGATGGTGCATGCCATTATCTAATGGTCTTATATGCAAATGCAAAGTTACGTAATTGTCTTATATATATATTCACATATACCTCCTCCTGGTTAACCGCCCAGCGCCAGGGTGCAGGTATGTAGGTTCCTGGAAGACATAAGTTCACACCCATATCATAAATCCAAAAAAGGAATGGATACCAGTAGTAGTTTATCTTGATAATCTGTTTCGTCATCAATCATACCCAAATAAATGAATAATCGGAAGTGAAATATTAACCATATGTATGCATCATACTCAAATCATAAGCCACCAAAAAAAACATTGTCAATACTTGGAGTACGTCAGCTAAACAAGTTTTAGGCTTATGGCGGCAAGAGAAATGATCAGATCAAATCTCAAAAATTTATATAATACCCCCAAAAATCACGCGAAAGCATCTAGTATACAGGGAGAAGGTAGGACACTCCAAGGTGTTTTTTCATTAAAATAGACATCCAGCATTCCCTTCCAACGACCTGAACAGTCTATGCTTCGCGTGTGCATATGACAATGTGTGTACAACAATATTTACTCTAGCGTTTGTAGTTACTGACCTGGATATGGTACATCACGCCCCAGTTGTTCCAATTCAGAACTAACCTTCTGTCCAGCTTCCTTGAGTAAGATAATAAGTTCCTCTGCGAATACAGCATTAGCAGTTGTAAAGAACGTGAATACTGTTCCTTTTGCTGCGGCACTTCCAGCACGGTCAATGCGGTAAACATAATCATCAAGGGACACTGGAAAGTCGTAATTGATAACATATTTCACATCCTTCAGATCTGCAAATTAAGCATGAAACAAAATGATTAGAAACAAGACTTCCGACCAATTCACAGGCTAAATGCATTCAACGAAAATTTGCTACACCTGCACCCCAACAAAACCCTAGGTTACTAACAGGACATGGTTTGAAAAGGCGGATGTTGACTGGTACAATAAACAAAGCCTTCAACTGTGAAGAGATTGAAGAAGGTAAATTTCTTTATAAATAGATGCAACTGTTGAAGCGCAAGCAATAAAGTGTTCCTTTCAAGTCTTTCACAAATTTAAAAAAAAATAATAATAATAATGATACCTAGATCACGAGCAGCAACATCTGTTGCAATCATTATGGGGATCCTGCCAGCTTGAAACTCAGAGACAATCCGGGCCATTTCCGCTTGACCCTTGTTTTCATGAAGCGAGACTGCATGCTGACCGTCCCTATAAAGCTGCAGGGCAAACTGATCACGTTTTTCGCATCCTTCCTTTATATCCATGAATATCAATATTCTGCTGCCATCCACTATACGACCTAGCAACTCTACCAATCTGAAACGTTTGAAATAAATCAGAAACATATATAACCGCAAACAGACAGCCCAAGATCAAACCTTAGAATGTCCCCTACTTGTTATATTTCTGATCTTCAGTAACGACGTAAACAGTTTGGTCGATCGGATGTGTAGGTTTCAGAGGTGGAGAAACAATTTCAACCTGTTCAACATCCAAAGATTAATGTCAAACAATTATTGGGTATTGCACATTAAAAAATGGGTAAAAGACTGTTTACTACCCTAATGTTTCGTGGTTTTCAACATTTAGTACATCAAGTTTTTTTCGTCTCAGAGTCATACCTAAAGTGTAAATTTTGGGACAGTCTCATACATCCGTTAGTCAAACTGTTAAGTTTTTCGTTAACTGTGACGTGGCGCACTGACTGGGCGACACGTGTCATCTACGTTTTTTTATTTTTTATTTTATTTTTTCTTTTTCTTTTCTTCTTCCTCCGACTGCAACTTTCTTTTTTTTTTTTTTTGCTTCTTCCTTTTCCTTCTTCCTTCCTTCCTCCTTCCTTTCCCTTTCTTCCCCTTCTTCCTTCTTCTTCCTTCTCATTCTCCTTCTTCTTCCTCCTAAATCTGGGGAATTTTTTTTTTTTCTTTCTTCTTCTTCCTCCGAAATCTGGGGAAGTTTGTTTTTTTTTTCTTTCTTTCTTCTTCTTCCTCCTTCTTCCTTCTTTTTCTTCTTCCTCCGACTGCAATTTTTTCTTCCTCCTTCTCCTTCTTCCTTCCCCTTCTTCCTCCTTCTTCTTCTTCTTCTTCCTCAAAAAAAAAAAAAAAAAAACACTTTCATCTTCCCCCAAATTCGGAGGAAGAAGAAGAAGGAGAAGAAGGGGAAGGAAGAAGGAGAAGAAGGAGGAAGAAAAAAAAAAAAAAACTGAATCTGGGCAGATTCGTAGGAAGAAGAAGAAGAAGAAGAAGAGGAAAAAAAAAAAAAAGCTTCCCCAGATTCGGGAAGAAGAAGGAGAATGAGAAGGAAGAAGAAGGAAGAAGGGGAAGAAAGGGAAGGAAGGAAGAAGGAAAAAAAAAAAAAACGTGGATGACACGTGGCGTCCAGTCAGTGCGCCACGTCACAGTTAACGAAAAACTTAACAGTTTGACTAACGGATGTATGAGACTGTCCCAAAATTTACACTTTAGGTATGACTCTGAGACGAAAAAAACATGATGTACTAAATGTTGAAAACCACGAAACATTAGGGTAGTAAACAGTCTTTTACCCTTAAAAAATTAAGCCAAGAGTACTATTGCAATAATAAGATAGAACTAAAAGGACATTTTGTTGACTACCAATTTCATCCAGGAAAAACAATTAAAAACAGCTAAGCAATGCAAAAAATAGTAAGATGTATTACATTGCATGCGTTGTAAAGGAACCGGTTTGCCCGTTTATCAACCTCCTTTGACCAGCTAGTACCCAACAATAATATTTGACAGTCTGGGTGAATCTGAATTCAACAAACCCATAGATAATTAACAATGACAATTTTCAACTGAACATAAACTTTGATATATAAACACACACGCACATGTGTGTGTGTGTGTGAGCCAACCCCACTTACTGGGATAAGGCTTGGTTGGTGTGTGTGTGTGAGAATAGCAACGCGGGTATGAAGAATAAAGTAAGGGCAATATCTCGAACCTTAGAAACAATGTCTTGTATTTGAGACCCAAACCCCATGTTTTGTTTTTCTAGCATCCAATCAGCGCCATCCAACACAAGATATGTGACCCTTCTGACGTTAGTATAACCATCCTCTAACGCAACAAGCAAGGACCTAGGTGTGGCGATTAGAATCCCACCTCCTGAGACAAAATATTAATTGCAATAAAAAAGAAGAATAAATATACATATACTCAAACAAGAAGTCTCCTTTAAAATCACCACCCACAAAAAATTGCACGTTACCATAAACAATGCCTATAACAGAATATCAAGTGGACAAATATCTGATACATGAAATTCCATCGGAGTAGCACAATAATAACAATAGACAGCATAATGTAGTTTGCCACAACCACTTACTACTTTTTTTAGGAGAAGACAGTTTCCAGCTTAATAAGACTTTAATGTTGGAAGCTGCACAAAATTTAGCATACTCTTGTTGGATTTCTTCACCGAGTCGCAGCGTTGGAGCTAAAATCAATACTCTTGGGCCATCTCCACCACGAGCTGAAGGAAAGTTATAAAATGGAAAAACTTATTGCCTATGATCAATACAACACAAATATATATGATTAAAACAGCTAGGATTTGATTATCTTAAGGATAACTAACATATATAAACTCACATAGTTTTGGCTGGGAGTTTATATGGACAATTGCAGGCATCAGATACGCCAGCTTCTTCCCGGATCCTGGTTGAGCAATACCAATGAGGTCACGGCCCTCCAAAGCCATTGGCCATACTTGAGCTTGAATTGGTGTAGGCCTAGCAAATCCAGCTTTTGAAAATTGTTGTATAACATTTTCTGTGATGGTAAGGGAAATTATCAATTCAATAGATATAGGTATACATTCAAGTGGAAATATATATATATTTTGTTATATTTTATTAAATAACAAGTTAACTTGTTTAAAACAAGAAAGAAATTAAAAAGTAGGTACCTGGAAACCGAGTGTCATCGAAATTCCTGATGGGGTTTGGAATATCACCACGGCCTTCAACAGTGATTCCCCTCCGTTGCCTATACTCCTCGACCGTATAAGAGGTATCATCACTATTGAGGTGCTGCGTTTCAGGCATGCTGCCTTGAGGCGTATAAGAGGTGACATCAGTATTGAGGTCCTGCGTTTCAGACGGGAGGTCGTCCAAGAAACAAGTAACTTCCCTCTCGAGGTCGTCCGTTTCAGACGGGAGGTCCTGCGTTTCAGAAGGGAGGTCCTGCGTTTCAGCAGTAATTTTCCTCCGCTGCCTCCTACACTGCTTGACGTCGCCGGCCGTATATGAAATGCCTCCAGCAGCATCAGCACCATAATGCTGTGCCAACGGTTCGGAGCGACGAAGTCCGCCCACAGCACCACCATCAACAGCATCCAACCAACTGAAACAACAACACAAGATTATTCAAGTTGTCCGGGTAACTTCTAACCACTAACAAATTTTAGCAAGTTTAAATTCGTACCCAAAATTCCCCATATGAGAGAGACAAAAAGAGAGAGAGAGAGAGAGAGAGAGAGTTACCTTCTTTTTGTCGGACGACCGTGATAAATGGAATCATCGGAGCGCTTCGCCATATTCAAGACAGCTAAAGCTAGGGTTTCCGAATTTTGGTACCAATCACTACCACCGTCGAATCTTTAACCAGTTACGATTTTGTTTGTTTTTTTCATTTATGTTTCTGATCGCGGTCGGTCTTAATTCTATTTGGATCAAGCCCATCATTGATTGCGCTTGTTCTATCGATCGTATGGTATCTCACAATACTTCTGCCTTGGGCCATCGCAAACCTTGTAATTAATTACTTATTTATTCCTTTATTTATGTTTTCGTACTATATTTATTTATTTATTTCCCGTTTCCTGGAATTGATGATCTCTTAAACCATCTCCAAACAAAATGTCAAATTATAATAGTTAAATTATAAGTGATGGTTGATATGGCAATTTGAAGTCTTATGCCCAATTTTTTACTTTTCCAACTGAATTGTCAAATGTTATTTTCTTATCAAATAGAGTTTTAAGTGGTTGTAATTATCAAAAAAATATTGAAACTATTGTAGTCCTATTAGATTAAGAATGTGATCGTATAAATCTTATCATGTTTTAATAATATATAATTTTATGTGATATTAGTAATGATGTGGCAGCCAAGTTAGTAGATAAGTGGGGCTCACAAATGCCACGTTACGACTTTAACATATTTATTAACGGATTTGACGGAAAGTGATAATATTTAAGTTTTAATTAGATGTAGAGTGAGAATAAATATAAACCTTTACTTTTGTTGTCATTAGGTTAGGAATTGCAAAATTCACAAATTGAATGTGACGGTTATCATTAACTCATTCCGGCATTTCACTGGTCCACCTCACACAAACCAATGATTTTGATTTCTTTTCCACACAAATCAAGGGTCCATATTTTTTTATCCTTAGACTCCAGACACTAAGGTTTAGAATGAATTCAATTACGTTATAGGTTGGCTTGGCGCCATGAAAGGTGCCTCCCCTTACCCATGGGATAACTTGACCTCCAGTGTTCAACTCTTTTTGCACACAACACAATTGTGTTTGTACGTATATTTTATCAGTCACTGTCCATGCATTTCACTAAATACCACCACACTAGAGTTATTTACACACGGGTTTTAATTATGAGATTATTAATGGATAAAGAAAAAATTAATTTGATGTGGGTAAAACCGTAAAAGAAAAATAAATCAAACAATGACACTTCATTTTAGTGTCTAATCTAATTTTTGTAAAAGCATGGTGCGTGTAGCCTTACTCTTCACTTATTTCGACAAAAAACAATAGCAATTTTTCATTAAAAAACGATAATGGTTAAAAGGGTTACTACATGGATATGTTAATTCTCTGTGCTTGTGACCAATTTGTTGATCTGAAAATAATGTGACATGAAACAAAATATCGTTGGAAGAAAGATATAGCAATCAAGCAAATGCATTTTCCAAGCATGCATGCATGCCCTTAATTAAAGGATCGAGTTGGACAAAAGAAAAATGTGAGAGCCAGTACGTACGTAATTGGAAAATCCACGTTCGACAAAAGTAAAAATTTGGCAAATCCACATGATGGAGATATCTCACTCGAGGCTGCTGCCCTGCTCACATTTTGTTAATCCAAACGTTCATTGATTCACATGACCTGCTCACATGGTGTGTAAAATTAGTGGGGTTGCAATTGCAAACACACGACCTGCTCTTCGTTAATTGCCTCGGCCACTCATTGGTGGAAGGGAGGACCCACAAAAGGAAACAAAGGGTATCGTGCCATAAACCCTAAACCCAGTACACATAAGCCTGCCAGAGCTCCTCCTACTCCTGGTTAACTTGCAGGTTTCATTGCTGGCAGCGTGAACAGAAAAGTGGAGAGAGGAGAGCAAGAGAGAGAGAGAGCAAGAAAACAGGAGGTAATTCCAAAACTCTCTTTCTCAGACCTTCAACCTCTCCGGCCCCTCTCACCCTTCAACTTCAACGTTGCAGGTAATTTCAAAATTCACTCGACACTCGACGACAGCCCTCGATTCCGTCTTCGTCTCCCTTTCTCTAGCGACTTGCGAGTTGTTACCACCATCACCATCACCATCATCTCCTCCCAAACCTTCCAATCGCGACCACCCACATCACCGCCGTCGAGATTGTCGAACACCACCGTCGTCTACGGCCAGTTCCTGCGAATCAAAATCGACCACCAGTCCGTTACCATCTCATCTCCCAAATTAAGGTGATGTTCTGAACTCTTAGCTATGTGCATTCTGCAATCTCTCTGATTAAGTTTTTGGGGCTTTATGATTTTCCAGATATATGGAGAGGAGGTTGAACGTGCCCTCTGTTCTTAAATTTTTTAGTGGCTCCATCGCATCCTGCAGATAATTTATTAACTTAATTTTTCTGTGATAGCAAATCTTCTTTCTCACATCTTCTCTTGTAGCTGCGAGAGCAAAAATGCCGCCCAAGAGAAAAAGGCTGTACAACACAGCCGAAGAAATGTCAGACAAGGAGAGGTAAATAGAATTTACTCATTTTGACGCCTCGAATTAGGAAAATTTTAGAGCGAAAAAATATGAGAGCTAGTCAAGAAGAAGGCTTCTAGTCCAACATATATTTTATTTAATATTTTTTATTATTTATTTATTTATTTTTGTTGCAGGAAAATGTATTTTAGGAAAATGCAAAGTTACCAATTAACCAATCAATGGCAACAGAGTGTAGATAAATGGTGGAACCTTAACAAACAGCTTGAGACCGTGGGCTGGAGAGTTCATAAGATCTTTCCACCAGTTATGATACAACGAAGGCGTAAGAAATTTGTTCATAATTTTTTTTTCCATTGAAATTCATTTTCTGTCACTTCCAATCCAGCATTCATCATGCACATATATTTATTGGGACGTTTGATATAGATGCCTTATGTATAAGTTTCCTAGACTCAACATATGCTCCTTTTAAAATTTGATTAAACATTTTCTTATTATTTTGATGATTAATTTCATTTTTTTTTTCACGTTAGAAGTTCACTTTTATTTAGAATTAGAAGTTTAGCTTTTCAGGACTTCTTCTTTGGGCATTTCATTTTTTTTTCTTCTCCAATTATTTCTGTATCTATGCCTTTAATATCCATCTCTTATTATGGTGCTGTCATACTTTATTTATTTATTTTTATTTTTTTATTGTTTATTGTAACTTGTATTATTGTGAATTCAGTAGAATATATATATATATATATATATATATATATATATATATATTTCTTTAAATTGTTGGGTACATTTGATTAGTAATTTAAATAAAAAGACCCCAAAACATAAGAAAAGTCCGTTTGATTATATTGTTATGACTAGTTACCTATAACATGGGTGCATTTGAATTTTTTGTACATTTGGAAACTAAACGTACCTATAATATAGCACATTTGGTTTTATGATACATTTGGGTTTTTTGTACGTTTGGTTTCTCGTTACATTTGAAATTTAAACATTCCAACTTGGTTACCTATAACATTGGCACATTTGGTTTTATAGATTTTTGGTACATTTGGTTTCTTGGTACATTTGAAATCTAAACGTACCAACATGGTTTCTTATTATAACATTGCAAATTTGGTTTTATGGTACATTTGGATTATGGTATATTTGGTTTTATGGTACATTTGGATTATTTTGTTTGGCTTTGTTAGTATATATGCCATATGTTGTGATGTCACTTTAATTTCATGTGTTTGCAAATGATTTTAATCCTTTTTGTTTATTTGATCAGCGGTTTGTGTGTCGGCCTCCCTGTGTAATTGTGTTTCGGCACATTACGCAATGAGAATGGGAATTGAGCCGCCCATACTCTCGCTTGAGAGTATTGTGAGAGGCGTGTTCAATGAAAGAGCTTTAAAAGCTCGGATGCTAGCCGATCAAGAAGACAAAATTTCAGTTCTTGCATTAATGGGCCACATGGCTCCGGACTGTGATATTTCTCTACTGGACGGGCTAAAGTATGTGTCGAGATTTGGAATTCCTTTAAAGAAGTATTGGAAAACCGGACAAAAGGCACCAAACGTCCCACATGTTAGTCTTATTATACACACACATTATTATGGATCAAAATCTGTTAATATATCCGTTAATATATATGTTAATGTATATATTATTATGTAGGAAAAGCTTTACAAGTATAGGATTGCCGATTACAAAAGTATTGGCAACCATAAGCCCACCATTGAATTTATGCACAGACAGTTTCCCCTCCTTTGCGATGCTTTCTTGAGTGACGCTGTTTATGATTACAAAGATGTAAGTAGTAAATTGTTGTGTAAGTTGTGTTTGTTTAGTAGTAAAACTTAACTGGTGTCTTTTTAACAGGGAATTTATACCTATGAAATGAATCGCCAAGGTGACAACTTGGGATTGCATGCAATGGTATTAGTAGGATGGGGATATAGTGTCATTGGAGACAAATCAAGTGAAAGCAGTGGAGACCTCGAGGAAAGCGATGAAGACGCCGATGTAGGTGCTGAGGAAGGCAGCGGAGAGGACGAAGAGTCAAAGGAAGACAGGGAAGTCAACCATTACTACATAGTGATGTGCAACTGGGGGGATAAATGGGGTCAGGGAGGATTTGGCCTTATGGAGAAAAGTTTAATCCGGCGGGTCTATTATCCCACAATACTGCCTCCTGATGAATTGCCGCCTGATGAGATCTGAGCTCTGGAGTCTTGTCTCTCGAACAAGGAAATTGGTTATGTACTCGTGTATTAGCTCGTGTTTATATGGTTGTGAGACTTCTAGTTAATTAATATTAATTTTTGGTTCCAATTGAAAAGCGATTAAATGATTATTTATCTTATAGTTGTTTGAGATAAAGATTCAAGTCTCTACTTATCCAAATGAACCTGATCATAGTTGAAATGGTCGTCTGGTCGAGTCAGAGCCCCTTTTTGTGTTTTAGCTCGAGCACGCCAGCTTCCCATGGTTATGTGATATAAATGTGACAGACCAAGTATGTGTGGATGTCCGTGTGTACTTTGCAAATCCTTTGGGGAGGAAAAGGAGAAGGAGATGAAACAAATACATGATATAGATCAGATACCAGACATTCCGGTAAAGGATATTCCGACTTGGTGAATTTCTTCGTAGAACTCGGGAATCATTGATATTATTAATACGACAGTTGAATAATCGTCGATATTGTGTCCGTTATGTTACAGTGTAAACCTACATGGCAAGCAACTTACAACATGGGATTTGAGTCATTGGGCGGCTTGACCAGGCGGTTTGTTTTTCATTGAGTGGTAATGCAAATTACCCTACACTCTCGATACACCAACGTAGCAATCTAATCGAATAACGCGACACCATATGTTTTAGTTTTGCGACATAACATTACATAATTCATCCGAAATATGCTACGGTAGTATACCGGAGTTGTAGCTCCCTATGAATCATAGACTATGATTGTACAATGGATAGGGGATCAAGAAAATAATATAACGCATATAATTGTGATGAATAATTAATTAAGAAAACTCAAGTTTAAACCTCACAGTATATCCATACAAAACTTCCAAACCATCCAAACAGAAGCTACGACTCAACTTCCCAGCCTTGCGTACATGATACTATTCTTTGATCATACTATTCTTTGGAATTTATCCTAGCCCAAGTGGTAATTAATTTTCATGGACTGGACCTTTATTCTTTTGGCTGGCGTTGATTTCAACATCACCACCCCACTTATTACACAGATATCGAGATTTGAGTATCACCACCTTCCCCTCAAGCATTTGAGTAACCAAGGGTTGGATGCTGACGGGGGCTTCGATTCTTAATCCTTTATTTCCAGTTTATATGCATATTTATCAAGAAAAAAATATTTTGTTTTCTGGGGATAATGCAAATAGATGTTACAGGGTTCAATGGCGGCTGTGGAGATGGCCGCGGTGCAGCATCCCAAACGACACTAGGAATTGAAACAGCACCCAGTACAAGTCTGGTGCAATCAGTGACAGGTGATATAAAATAGAGAGAGATATAGCTAGGGCCAAAGCTGCCCTAGGGAATCAAGCGTCGCCCAAATTTTACCTCTCATTGTCAATGAGACTAGTGCCCCATCATTCATCGCCTTCATCGCCTTCATCCTCTTCATCGTCTCCATCGCCTCCATTCTCTTCATAGTCTCCATCGGCTTCTTGCCAGATTTTATAGACTGACAAATGAAATGCAAGATAATTAACAACGCCAACTATCACTGTATTTTAAACTTCAGTGACAATATATTACCTAACTCCCAACTCCTACACAAAAAAACTCATGTCCCTAATCAATTTTAAAAAATTGTCTAGTGAGAGACGGTCGGCCATGTGTGTTTTTAAGGGCTTCAGACAGATACTTACCTCTATATTTGATTTCCTTCCTGGTGTCAAGTATTCTTTCCAACAAGCCATCGGAGTTGACATCCCCAAACAATATGGTTTCCTTTCTGTCACCAATCATCCTAACAAATATTGCTCGGTACAGCTTCTTTTCATAAGTTGTGGCACAAGCGGCCTCCAAAGTTAGATAAAAGTAACTAACAGGAAGGCAGGACAAGTGTTGGTATGCCTCCACCACGCTCAAAAAATGCAGTTGGAGGCCCTAAAAAAGAAGCCATGCAGACCGTCATATTTAAACAAGTGCACTACTAAAGATCACTTGTAAAACAGAACATGCTAAAGTATGATGTAGAGCAGCAGCAGCTTTTACAAAAGATCGGTTTTAACCTTTTTTCGGCTGATTTCTTGCACGACGTTGTTGGATTTGTGACCAAGTGGACAACAAGCCAAAATTGCTAATAAAATAGAATAAGGAAAAGGGAGACATCATTATGATGTCTAGCCCTTGATTTGTGGCTTTTACAAAGGCAAAGAATATGTGGCAATTATGGTTTTGTTCCTTTTGTTTATTATATGTTTTTGGTTATGCCTTTGGTGAAGTGGGAGCGGCAGCAAATGAGATAAAGGGAGTTGTCTGTTGACAGCTCCAATTAGTGAGCAGAGGAGAGAGCATTCGGCTCTCCCATTTGAAATAGAGTTGCTGCTTTCCCCCTTTGTTAGTGATCACTCAATCAAAGATATTTGTGCTACATGTTGTGGCTTTTGGGTGAGAAGGAATTTGTTATATGTTTCCATTTTCTCCATTTGTTCTTTGTTTTAGTGAGAGCTATTGGGTGTATGTGAGATTTGGGTTTGAGAGTTAAAACTCTATTTGTAATCTCCTTTTGATATTAGTGGAATTTCCTCGCCGTCTCGGAACTGGACGTAGGCTTACGCCGAACCAGTATAAATCATTGTGTCATTTTATATTATTTGTATTGTCATATTTTGCCGTTGTTGCTTATTGGTTTCATATTTGACGCTTCCGCACAACAGACGTTACTGGCAATATCCTTGGTCTTAGAACAATGCAGATACAACGGAAAGAAATGACCAGCTCCAATCTGTTTAAAGAAATGCAAACGGAACAAAGTTAGCAACATACAGACCTTATTTTATGGTACTATATGTGTGTAGTCAACTATGTGGATTAATTAGAACAACAGTTGAAGCGCTGAGGTTGAATTTTGAGTTCTAATTCCAGACAAAAAAGGGTAATAAACAGATGGTGCATGCCATTATCTAATTGTCTTATATGCAAATGCAAAGTTACGTAATGGTTAACCGCCCACCGCCACGGTGCAGGTATGTAGGTTCCTGGAAGACATCAGTTCACACCCATATCATAAATCCAAAAAAGGAATGAATTCCAATAGTAGTTTATCTTGATAATCTGTTTCGTCGTCAATCATACCCAAACAAATAAATAATCGGAAGTCAAAGATTAACCATATGTATGCATCATATAAGCCACCAAAAAAAACATCGTCAATACTTGGAGTACGTCAGCTAAACAAGTTTTAGGCTTATGGCGGCAAGAGAAATGATCAGATCAAATCTCAAAAATTTATGTAATACCCCCAAAAATCACGCGAAAGCATCTAGTATACAGGGAGAAGGTAGGACACTACAAGGTGTTTTTTCATTAAAATAGACATCCAGCATTCCCTTCCAACGACCTGAACAGTCTATGCTTCGCGTGTGCATATGACAATGTGTGTACAACAATATTTACTCTAGCGTTTGTAGTTACTGACCTGGATATGGTACATCACGCCCCAGTTGTTCCAATTCAGAACTAACCTTCTGTCCAGCTTCCTTGAGTAAGATAATAAGTTCCTCTGCGAATACAGCATTAGCAGTTGTAAAGAACGTGAATACTGTTCCTTTTGCTGCGGCACTTCCAGCACGGTCAATGCGGTAAACATAATCATCAAGGGACACTGGAAAGTCGTAATTGATAACATATTTCACATCCTTCAGATCTGCAAATTAAGCATGAAACAAATGATTAGAAACAAGGCTTCCGACCAATTCACAGGCTAAATGCATTCAACGAAAATTTGCTACACCTGCACCCCAACAAAACCCTAGGTTACTAACAGGACATGGTTTTGAAAAGGCGGATGTTGACTAGTACAATAAACAAAGCCTTCAACTGTGAAGAGATTGAAGAAGGTAAATTTCTTTATAAATAGATGCAACTGTTGAAGCGCAAGCAATAAAGAGTTCCTTTCAAGTCTTTCACAAATTTAAAAAAAATATAATAATAATGATACCTAGATCACGAGCAGCAACATCTGTTGCAATCATTATGGGGATCCTGCCAGCTTGAAACTCAGAGACAATCCGGGCCATTTCCGCTTGACCCTTGTTTTCATGAAGCGAGACTGCATGCTGACCGTCCCTATAAAGCTGCAGGGCAAACTGATCACGTTTTTCGCATCCTTCCTTTATATCCATGAATATCAGTATTCTGCTGCCATCCACTATACGACCTAGCAACTCTACCAATCTGAAACGTTTGAAATAAATCAGAAACATATATAACCGCAAACAGACAGCCCAAGATCAAACATTAGAATGTCCCCTACTTGTTATATTTCTGATCTTCAGTAACGACGTAAACAGTTTGGTCGATCGGATGTGTAGGTTTCAGAGGTGGAGAAACAATTGTAACCTGTTCAACAGCCAAAGATTAATGTCAAACAATTATTGGGTATTGCTAGGGCTGGAAAAAAATCCCAAAAATCCCAAACCAAACCAAAAAAATCCCGATCCCAAACCAAAATTCCCAAAAGTTTCGGGATGTAATCCCAAACCAAACCGAAAGTTTCGGTATGGGATTCGGTATTGCATTTCATTTTTTCGGTATTCCCATACCGAACCGAAAAATATATATATATATATAATTTTTTAATTATAAGAGAATTATTTCAACTGTTGATTGTTTTGGATTTAATATGTGCCGTTGATTTGTTTTTAGGTCAGATGATAACATTTCACTTTTGTATTCCTCCGTTCATTTGTTTCGAAGCGCAGCCGTAAGCCTCCGACCCTCACCAACGTCGTCCCTCACCATACTGTCGAATTCCGACCAGCCACCGACCCACCACCACACCATACTCTCGTCTCTGACTCTCCAGCCTTCCTTCACCACACAACCACCGCTCTCTCTCGCGATCTCTCTCTCTCTAGGGCGATTGTCTTTCACGGACAAGACAGGTCACAGAACTGGGGATCTCTCTCGAGTCTCACGGTCTCACCACCACACCGAGTCTGAGTCCCACTCTCACCCCAAATTAGGTAATTAATTTCATCGTCACACACACACCTCTCGCTCTCTCTCTTTTCTTTTGCGATTTTGTCTCTTCATCTGGGATCGTCTTTGAAATGATAGTATATATTCGTCATTTGCATGTTAGTATCAATTCTATTTGTGCAGGAAGTGATGCAATTCTTTTAGGTGCAGAGACCCTGCGCGGTTTGTACCCTGTTGAGACGATCTCCATTGTTGGAAAGATTTGCTCTGAGGTAACTCCATTTCTGTATTGTAATAAAGCTCTCTCTCTCTTCTGAAAAAGCAAGAAAAAAATACGAATTGGGTCAGATTTTACTTTGAACTTACTATAGGCATTGTGTATTTGGGATGTAAATAGAATGGTTTAGCATACAAGCGCTACAAGTTGGGATGTAAATAGAATGGGTCAGATTTTTCTTGAATCATTTATTCTCGAGCAGCTTTTAAAGGTTTAGCATACAAGCGCTACAAGCTGGTTTTTATTTTTGTGCATCTGCTCAGATTTTTGAGAATCTGCTCAGATTGTGTGGGGGTGGGGCTAGTTATATCTTTGTGAGAATCTGCTCAGATTTTTTAACCATTGATTTTATTTATTGTTTGGAATTTGGATATATGCTGAACTGTGGTTGTGATACTCGTGCTGAAGCAACTGATGTTGCCAACGCTGTACTGGATGGTAAACTTCTGTCTTTTGACATGACATATGCTCCTTTCTGTTAGCTTTGGCAGGTTCCACCATCTCATTTATTCTTTCATGTCCATGTCATTGCATAGATTGTTGCTCTGTTAGTGTTAGTAATATCATTAGTATTGTAATACTCCTGTTGCTTGAGCATTATTCAACAAGTAACAAGTTAATGTTATCATAGGATGTACAAGTACGAACTGTGCACTTATTTACCCACTTTTCAATTCTATTTGTGCAGGAAGTGATGCAATTCTTTTAGGTGCAGAGACCCTGCGCGGTTTGTACCCTGTTGAAACTTTGTTTTTTTGCTTTTGGTTTGTAACTTAATTATTAAAACTTTGGATTGTAACTAATTTTTTTGCTTTTGGGTTTGTTACTTTATTTATTTTAAAACCTTGGCTACAATACAAGTGGAAAATGCAGTTGAACTGCTAATGTTCGTTCTGCTCTTATAAACATTGCAGGTTTGCCCAATATTTTTTTTATTTGGTTGAATAAAGTTAAGCCCATATGGGGGCTGTTACATTGAGTGGGCACGGCCCAATATTAGGTTTTTGTCCAATTGGACCATTATTAGCTTTTTTGTCCAAAAGCCCAAAATTATTTTTGGGATTCCCGATTTGTCCCGAAATCCCGAAACTATTTCGGGATTCCCGAAAATTGGGATTCTCGAAAATTTGGTTTGTGATCGGTATTGAAATTGGGATTCCCGAAAATTTCGGTATGGGAATCGGGACAAGGGTTTCGGTATGGGATCCCATACCGAACCACCCCTAGGTATTGCACATTAAAAAATTACGCCAAGAGTACTATTGCAATAATAAGATAGAACTAAAAGGACATTTTGTTGACTACCAATTTCATCCAGGAAAAACAATTAAAAACAGCTAAGCAATGCAAAAAATAGTAAGATGTATTACATTGCATGCGTTGTAAAGGAACCGGTTTGCCCGTTTATCAACCTCCTTTGACCAGCTAGTACCCAACAATAATATTTGACAGTCTGGGTGAATCTGAATTCAACAAGCCCATAGATAATTAACAATGACAATTTTCAACTGAACATAAACTTTGATATATAAACACACACGCGCGTGTGTGTGTGTGAGCCAACCCCACTTACTGGGATAAGGCTTGGTTGGTGTGTGTGTGTGAGAATAGCAACGCGGGTATGAAGAATAAAGTAAGGGCAATATCTCGAACCTTAGAAACAATGTCTTGTATTTGAGACCCAAACCCCATGTTTTGTTTTTCTAGCATCCAATCAGCGCCATCCAACACAAGATATGTGACCCTTCTGACGTTAGTATAACCATCCTCTAACGCAACAAGCAAGGACCTAGGTGTGGCGATTAGAATCCCACCTCCTGAGACAAAATATTAATTGCAATAAAAAAGAAGAATAAATATACATATACTAAAACAAGAAGTCTCCTTTAAAATCACCACCTACAAAAAATTGCACGTTACCATAAACAATGTGTTGTGCTAGGATAGCACCAAACCCGTTGGAACCAACTCAAGCTAACCCACAGGAAATTTATCAAATGAAAATGCAAGAACAAAATATTAAAGACACCAAGATTTTAACGAGGTTCCTCAACAGTCAGTGTAACTGGAGTACGTCCTCGAAGTAGTAGGAGCTCACCCAATAATCCACTATCAACCAAATGGGAGTTTACAAAGTGTTGGCAATCTCACAACCCAAAACCCCAATACACCCAATAACTCTCACTCACCAAAGAAAGAAATAGAGAGAGAAATATAGTGAATAATTTCCTCTCTATACAAAGCTCAAAGCTAATACACAAATACAACTTCTTTGAGTGAGTACCAACAAAGAAAGAAATCACCTTTCTTTCTTCTCTTCAAAATGGGGGTGAAGGACCTCTGTTTTCTTCTGTTTTTCTGGTGCACTCTACCACTACAATCAGAAAATGCTCTCTATTTTCTGCACCTTCTACAACTCCCCTTCCGTTTCTCTTATTTCCATAGGCTAAATAAAAAATTAATTTTCTCCAACATCATCATTTGTCATCATCACAAAGCAAGGAACAACATCATGATGTCTCCCTTTTCATTTTGTCTTTCACTTTTTTTTTTCTTTTGGTTTGTTTATTAGGAAAGGTGATGGCCACTTGGCCACAATTCAACAATCTCCACCTTGGCTAAGTTCCGAAAACGCCATGATAAGCCAACCAACACAATTGACCCAAAAAATCACTCCCAAACACTAGTAAGAGAACAATTCATGCCGAGCCAAATGCTCCAAAACTCCTACTGCTCAATGCCTTCTTTATATAGGCATAATGTGAGCCAAGTTCAAACAGTGAACAAACTTGGCTACACCAACAACCTTAGTCAACATATCAGCGGGGTTGTCTTTAGTTGGAAGTTTCTGGAGAATGATTTCCCCTTCACCAACAATTTCACGAACAAAGTGATAACGCACATCTATGTGCTTGGTCCTCGCATGATGAACCTGATACTTAGCCAAATAAATGGCACTCTGACTATCACAATGTACCTCCACCTGCTTCTGATCAACCCCCAAATCTCTAATCAGCCCATGTATCCAAATGGCCTCCTTTATAGCTTCAGCAACTGCCATATATTCAGCCTCTGTAGTAGACAAGGCAACAGACGACTGCAAAATGGACCTCCAACAAACTGGTCCTTTAGCCATAGTAAACACATAGCCTGTAGTAGACTTCCTTCCATCCAGATCACCTGCATAATCTGAATCAACATAACCAACTGCAAAATGACCAATACCAGAGTCATCCCTCTCAAAGCATAAACCAACATCTCGAGTACCATGGAGATATCTCAATATCCACTTAGCTGCTTGCCAATGCTTTTTACCTGGATTATGCATATATCGACTCACCATGCCAACTGCATGAGCAATATCCGGTCTAGAGCATACCATTGCATACATCAAACTACCAACCAAATTTGCATATGGTGTATTTTTCATTTGCAGCTTCTCTTTATCATTTTTAGGACATTGTAGAGAACTCAATTTAAAATGAGGAGCCAAAGGGGTACTAACCGGTTTGGTTGAATCATGAACTCCAAACTTTCGAATCAACTTCTCAAGGTATTGTCTTTGATTCAAACTGACCAAACCCTTCTCTCTATCTCTAGTGATCTCCATGCTAAGGATCTTCTTCGCTTCACCAAGATCCTTCATCTCAAACTCATTCTTCATTTGCTTCTTCAATTTTTCAATCTCTTCAACATTCTTTGAGGCAATCAACATATCATCAACATATATCAACAAATAAATGAAAGACCCATCTTGCAACTTCTTGAAGTACACACAATGATCATATTGACTTCTAGAATAATTTTAAAACAAGAAAGAAATTAAAAAGTAGGTACCTGGAAACCGAGTGTCATCGAAAGTCTTGATGGGGTTTGGAATATCACCACAGCCTTCAACAGTGATTCCCCTCCGTTGCCTATACTCCTCAACCGTATAAGAGGTATCGTCAGTATTAAAGTGTTGCGTTTCAGGCATGCTGCCTTGGGGCGTATAAGAGGTGACATCAGTATTGAGGTCCTGCGTTTCAGACGTGCTGCCTAGAGCAGTATGCTCCTCGACTTTGCCGACCGCGTAAGCGGTGCCATCAGTAGTAATTTCCCCCTTGAGCTCCTGCGTTTCAGACCGGAGGTCCTGCTTTTCAAACGGGCCTTTAGCAGTTATTTTCCTCATCTTCCTCCTATACTCCTTGACGTTGCCGGCCGTATATGAGATGCCTCGAGCAGCATCAGCACCATAATGATGTGCTAACCCTTCCCAGCGACGAAATCCGCCTATAGCACTACCACCAACAGCATCCAACCAACTGAAACAAACAACACAAAATTATTCAAGTTTTCCAATCACCTCTCGGCCGGACAACTACCAACTACTAACTGCTAACAAATTTTAGCAAGTTTAGGGGATGTATTCAATTGAGATGGATTTTTATGGAGTTTAATTGAATTGTAGAAATTTTATATAAAATTTTGATTCAATTCCTTGATTTATGGATGCTTAAAATACATTACGAAATCTTTCTAATATACTCTAATTCTTAACTTTCTCAAATTCTTTACAATAAACTTCTAATTGAATACGCTTGAAATATTATAAATTACTTTAAAACCCTAATTAAATACAACCGAATTTTTAAGAATTTTAATAAATTATATTAACATTCTAATTGAAAACACTTTAAATTTCAGAGAATCAGTTAAAATCTGATTGAATACCCTAAATTCATTAAAAAAAAATTAAAATCCCTTAAAATTCAATTCGTACCCAGAGAGAGAGAAAGTGAGTTACCTTCTTGTCCGACAACGGTGAGAACTGGGGTCATCGGAGCGCTTTGCCATATTCGAAATCCCAAAGCCTGAAAATCCCAAAGCTTTGGAGGAAAGTCGCGTAGAGAATGCCCGGCTATCTTATTTATACTAATACAAATCCTTCTTACAAAACGTCTAAATAAATCCCTTAACATAAACTAGGAAATAATCTCCTACTCTAATATGGAGAATCTGCTAGTTTACTAATCTTTTAGTCATATTGATCACTTTTTGATCAAAATAGATTCCTAAGTCGTACATAAAGTGAAGTTAAAAATATCAAAATTTTCACAAAATGCATGTAATTTAATATCCTAGTGGATAGGACGTTAGTTTTCACCCATGCGTCCCGCGTTCGAGATTCTTCCTTCCATAAATTATTGTAATGGTTTCGAATTCTCTCATTCCCTTTAATAATAATATATGTTGAAAAAAAATCTCACAGAATAACCAATAACTTAATACTTAGATTAAGGTAAAAATGTAGAATAATATGAACTTGTCAAATATCCCCAAACATAACTCTTTACTTGTTCTCAAGAAAAAAAACAAAAACTAACAAACTAAAGACTAATTTGACCAAGACAAATTCTCACTTTAAGTCGCAAGCTAATCCGGCGGGGTTTATTATCCCACAATACTGCCTCCTGATGAATTGCCGCCTGATGAGATCTGAGCTCTGGAGGCTTGTCTCTCGAACAAGAAATTGGTTATGTACTCGTATATTAGCTCTTGTGTTTATATGGTTCTGAGCCTTCTAGTTAATTAATATTAATTTTTGGTTCCAATTGAAAAGCGATTAAATGATTATTTATCTTATAGTTGTTTGAGATAAAGATTCAAGTCTCTACTTATCCAAATGAACCTGATCATAGTTGAAATGGTCGTCTGGTCGAGTCAGAGCCCCTTTTGGTGTTTTGGCTCGAGCACGCGAGCCTCCAGCTTCCCATGGTTATGTGATGTGAATGTGATAGACCAAGTATGTGTGGATGTCCGTGTGTACTTTGCATATAACAGACATTTAATGGAAAAATCAATTTTGGATTAAATTTGTCAACGGACTACACCACGAGAGTTTAAATCTTAATTTTTTTACCACGAGAACCGTTTATCCGATTAGGCCATATTATTAATAACAGTTGAATAATTGTCGATATCGTGTCCGTTACGTTACACTGTAAACCTACATGGCAAGCAACTTACAACATGGCATTTGAGTGGTAATGCATATTACCCTACACTCTCGATATGCCAACGTAGCAATCTATTGGAAGTGACAGCTGCAACTCACGTCTACATCACTTCCAATACAATCTAATCAAATAATGCGATACCATATTTTAGTTTTGCAACATGACATTACATAATTCATCCGAAATATGCTACGGTAGTATACCGGAGTTGTAGCTCTCTATGAATCATAGACTATGATTGAACGATGGATAGGGGATCAAGAAAATAATATAACGCAGAGAATTGTGATGAATAATTAATTAAGAAAACTCTCAAGTTTAAACCTCACAGTATATCCATACAAAACTTCCAAACCATCCAAACAGAAGCTACGACTCAACTTCCCAGCCTTGCGTACATGATACATGGCATTTGGATAACACGCAAGACCATGCTATAGAAAGTTTTAATTGGGATTGGTCTGCTGTGCTATCGAAAGCCCAGAAAAAGAAGACACAACTTTACCAGGTGACATGCTACATTCAGAACTCTCTAAGACTGATATGAGACTCTCCAACATGGTCTTCGACAGCTTCAGCTTCTCAGTCTGCTCCGAGGTTGGTTTTTCCGGAAGAGAATCGTGCTGTCAAAGAGAAAGAATAACGGATAACAAGTAGCAAGATAATTTTACTGGCATTGTTGGTGGATTAACAGTCCCATTTATTCGGTTTAAGGGATATATCATAAACCATATCTATAAGCTTGAAGGGAATGTCACTTAAGTAAAAGTTGAGCAACAAATTACATACCTGCTGAATTTGGGTAGCAATTTTCTGATACATTTCACGTAGGTCGGATAAGTACATTGCTGTCATGACTTTGATCTGCAAATGAAAGTCCGCAATACAAAGATGATTAGAAAGAACATTGTTGCAGCTGCAGAGTCACTCGTGCATCCAATTACAGTTTTTCATTTTAATGCTTCAAATTTCAAGAAAAAATGTCAACAGAAAAGAGATCATGCATACAACCGCGCATGAATTCCGAATGAGTGAAATCATGTGTACATAATGAAGCAAGATTTTACATTAACTTCCCAACCGATGAGCCTTCTGGTTACACGACTCAATCTAGAAAGACAAGAAACATCTATATGTAAACATTAAAGAATTTGTTTTGAATCTGAATTTTTCTGCAGGCTAGTCATATTGTTTTGCTGCATCATTGGCGAAGGACCTTGAAACTGCAACTGCTAATTCACTTTTCTGCAAGTAGTCATTATCTATCATTTTGAAACTGCATTGACTGCATCATGGCCATAGGACCTCGATTTGTAGAATTCGAAATAGATGCTACAAAAGACATACACATCAATTTCATATGGAGCAAAGATATTGAGCATTATCATAACAAAAATTATATGAACAATACATTTCCAAAGAAGAAATGAATCTTACAACAACAAAACAATAAGACGTATGCTGATCAGACAAAAGAAGCATAACCAAAGAAATAAAGATTTTCCCCAAAAGTCATCCAAAAAAATTGTAGCATCATAAATAAGGACTTCGAGTTTACACTTCTGTACAATGTGCATTCATGATAATCTAAATGGCATTAAAGTGTATGCATGAAAAGAACAAAAAGGCCAGCGTTGGAAATGGCACAACTGAAAAGAAAAGGTTAGGGAAAAGTGGAAACATACATGATAGTGCCTCATTTAGGGATCTTTGAGATTGAGATAACAGCGTTGCCTGATCCATTGCAAATTGTGATGGACGCATGGATTTTGATACCTGAAATGGTGCTTGAAGTGTTTCCTGCCTATCTCGTTTTAAGCCCGCAGACACCGGGTTGCTCTGCAACATTGTTGTCAGAGGGTGTTGGTTCATTTGATTTTTAAGATGCATGTGAGTAATATGAGAGTGTGACTGCTGCTGTTGCTGCTGTAGTATCTGCCGCTGCTGTATCAATTGGTGCTGCATTTGCTGTTGACACTGTTGCTTCAGTTGATTCTGAAGCTTTTGCTGTTCTATTTGCTGGTGTTGAAGCATACCAGAATTTGACTGAAGGGAGTTAATATTTGACTGCAGCTTACTAACCCCACTCTGTGATGACATGGCATTCGAATTCATGTTCACTTGTTGGGAAACATTGACAGGAGTTTGTTGGTTAGATCCCAACAGAACTTGCTGCAAAGAGTTCAGTGCATTTCCCTGTCCTGGATCCAACTTTGTACTCGGCTGCAATGGATTCATCATGTTGTGCTGTGCTGTTGAACTTGAAACCCGAGAAATAGAAGACAACGAATTTTCCTGCAAGTTTGTCATATTATTGTTCTGCTGCATTGTTGGCACAGGACCTTGTAAATTCATTGTTTGCAACTGCGGGTTCATTGGATTTTCATGAGACTGCACTTGAGTAATTTGAGATTGCGGCTGCTGCATCGAGTAGTGCATATGAGGTGGGGGGAGCTGCTCTTGTTGCAGAGGAGGAACTTCCGTCCTCGTTCTATTTGTAATAATAAATTTTACTATCTGCTTCTCATATAAACCCAATTTGCCTTTCAAACTAGGTGAAATCCTATTCTTGGAAATCTGTAAGACTGATATGAGGCGCTCCAACATGGTTTTGAACATTTTTAGCTTCTCAAGCTGCCCCGGCTTTGGTGGTTGTGGAAGAGAATCGGGCTGGCAAATAGAAAGAACAGACGTCAGTAAGCAAAAGAACGACAATATAAGGAGTAACAAGACTTTGTTGCGAAATGTTATCAGCACTAGTGGTGAAGTAATACTTCCATGTAGACAGTCTACAAGGGTACAATAATTAAAAGGAAAATCCAGGTCGAATCTATCAAAGAACACCACCGCAATAACCTAACAGGGAAAGCCCGCTTGTTGGTAAAAGTTCAAGCAACAAATTATGAGAGAAGAAAATATTGAATTGATTACATACCTGCTGAAGTTTAGTAACATATTTCTGATAAACTTCACTTAGTTCGGTTAAGTACATTTCCTTCATGACTTTGATCTGCAAATGAAAGTCATAAATACAAAGATGATTAGAAAGAACTTTGGTGCAGCTACATGCTTGTCGACACCATCACATCATCAATGCCAACGGAAAAGAGCCCGTGCATGCAACCATGAATTCAGACGGCATGACAAAGCAGCCCCACAAGGAATCTTAACTAGTATGTATTTCTTCAAAATTCCCATTCAAACTAGGGAATTTTGGCATTAGTATAATTAAATTGGTTGAAATGGTTTGGATACGTGAACTAAAGACTTAGAGATGCTCTAGATGCGACTATGAGACAGGTGCTCAGGGCAAAAGAGGTAGAGGAAAACCTAGGAAAACTTGGAAAGGGACTTTAAGAAAGGATATGAAGTACTTGAACCTAGCGAAAAACTTGACGCAAAACAGAGTGCGTTAGTGTTCTAAGATTACACAGCCGACCCCACGTGAGATAAGATTTGGTCGTTGTTGTAGCTCTATCCCCACCCCTACCCCAACGTCTAATAATTTGTATTTTTATATTAAGTTGTTGTATGTGAAGGACTGAGATCATCTCCGGAGCTTTGCCTCGGGAGCCGATGGATCCATTAATCCTGGCCATTAAATTCAATCCGGCGGCCATGAAACCAAAAACCAAAGGGGAAAGGTGCAGGGGATGGAAGATGAAGGAGGGGATGGGGTGGGATGACCAGAGGGGAAAGGGTGCAGGCGGTGGGAGAAGGAGGAGGGGATGGGTGTGGGATGACAGCAGTCATGGAAGTGGGAGAGGAAGAAGGAAGGAGGAGGGGATGGGGGTGGGATGACGGCAGTCATGGCAGTGGATGACGGCAGTCTGAGAAAGATCCCAATTTGACCGTCGAACTCCTTGCCGCTGCGTACTTGGTCGGTGATGCTGGAAACCTCCGCAGGCGAGAAGGGGAGAGATTTCTGGGATGTGAAAAGAGTGTTGTGCATTTCTGACCGTAAGTGAAAGCCATCGAATGGACAAGAAGTTAGTGCATCTTACTTTTTGATAGACCTCCTCTTGCGAATCACTCCCGTTTGCATGTCCAGTCTGGGCTCGGCAATCTAGAGAAGCTACAAATTATACAGAGAGATGTGTCAATGTTTGCACCTAAAAAGAAATTTGAACAAGAAACGAAAAAACTAAGCATTGCATGCAGAACATTGAGAAAAAAAATGGAAAACTATCCTTCCCAAAACAGTTGAAAATGTATTTCTTGTAACACAAAATAATGTTATATATATATATATATATCCAGACATCATAAGCAATCTAAGAACAGACTAGAAGCTTCATGAGCCAAAGTGGAAAAGGGCCATGCATGCACTGTTTTGAAGATAATGCATCCATGGGCAACGACATTTACTAAACATACTAGACATTGAATTTTTATGCAGGCTTGTAATATTGTTCTGCTGCAATGTTGGCACAGAACCTTGTAAATTCATTGTTTGCAACAGCGGGTTCATTTGATTTTCACGAGACTGCACTTGAGTAATTTGAGATTGCAGCTGCTGCATGGAGTGCATATGAGGTGGCGAGTGCTGCCCTTGTTGCCGAGGAGGAACTTGCTTCCTCGGTCCATTTGTATCAATAAAATTTATTATCTGATTCTCGTATGAACCCAGCTTGTCTTTCAAACCAGGTGAAATGCTGCTCTTGGTAATATGTAAGACTGATATGAGGCGCTCCAATATGTTTTTGAACATTTTTAGCTTCTCAAGCCGCTCTGACTTTGGTTGTTGTGGAAGAGAATCGTGCTGGAAAACAGAAAGAAGAAGAGGCATGAGTAAGCAAAAGAACAGCAATATATATAATAAGAAATTAAAACGGGGATCCGTCATTACAAGGGATCTAGCATGAACCATCCCCACGATAACCTTGAACGGAAAGAATGCTTAATTTGTAAAAGTAAAGCAACAAATTATGAGGGGAAAAAAATGAAGTGGTTACACACCGGTTGAAGTTTAGTAGCAATCTTCCAATACATTTCACTTAGCTCGGGTAAGTACATCTCCTTCATGGCTTTGATCTTCAAATCAAATTCAGAATGCCCAAGATGATTAGAAACAAATACACGTTTCCAAACACCATAGTATAGTTTGTTTCTTACTATCTCATGTCTTCTACTAATTTGTTTCTAACCCTGGCCATTTAGTCCGCATGGCAAAGTGGCTTACCTTTTGATAGACCTCTTCTTGCCAATCACCCTCATTTGCAAGTCTTGCTTGGGCTGGGGAATCTAGGATTGGTACGAGTTATGCAAAAATATTAAAGCGGGAGCCTTGTGCACTGGGTACGACATTTTTATACAAATTTGTCTGATAAGGGTAGTAATGGAGAAAAGCTTTACCTTCCGAACATTGCTCAAGCAGAATAAAAACCTCTGCAAAAACATGAAATATTTTCTTTTATTTCCATCATTCGATAATTGAACAGTAGTTCAGCGTCTTGCACAAACCATATAAACTAAAACTGATCCTAGAACTTGACACCTATTTAATCATAAAAAAAAATAACTGCCGGTGTAGATATTAAAAATCAATCTTTCAGGCAGTTGATCATCAAGAAGAACATTTTTAAAATTCAAATTCATTTTCTCTCCATGTCAAAAAGCATGTTGCAGAAGTTTGAGTTTCTATTACCCGCAGGATTAGGTTGTAATGAATTATCCACTGTGTTCTGAATCATGGTATCCACTTTAAGCATCCTCAGAGAAATTTTTTGTAGATAATCCCACTAGGAAGAGAAATCCATGTTAAACTTCGAATGCATTGCTATTCATAAAGCAAACAGAGTTGAAACACAAACTAGTAAGTTATGTATGTAATAAGATTTGTCATAGATAAATACCTGGCTTGTGGAAGAAGTATAAATCTTTTCCTCAAACGTCACGGCCATTTTCAAGAGTTCTTGTAATTCCTCGTGACCAGATACAGAAGGATGACTCTTCAATGTATCAAATCTTTACATGCAACACATTTAACAAAGATTATTGACTATCATTAAAGCATGGAATTAACAAGTACATAAGTGAATTCATAATGAACAAATCCAATCATTTCTGTATAAACCCTGACACGCCCCGATCCTGATGTCCATAAAGGATGTGTGGGATTCTTAGCCCACATAGTTACGGGGTGAACCTTCTTTGTTTGTTGAACTTGTCATGCATTATTTCACATGTTCTCGGCATTCGCATTTATTAAATGGCTTGCGTCACCCTCGGTGATGGCCCGTGGCCAACCCGATGTCCCCAGGACATTGGGATTGGGGCGTATTAAACCCGCCTAAAGGTATGCACACAGATTTTTGTGTAAGTAAACGAATATCATCTTCTTGCGATCATACACCTGAAACTGTACTTTCAATTGATGCCTACATAATTGAACTCAGTGCTGTGAAGGGGAATCGAACCCAGGGCTCGGGTGCTGTGGTAAAGGCTCTTAACCACTTAAGCTACAAACCTTTTGCGTTCTTGCATGCTTAACGTTATGATTGCCCTTTTATAACAAACATGATAACAAGTACAAAATCATCTATAAATTAAAAGCTACTGCAAGAGAAAAGCATGAATCTATGATTCCTAGGGTTTTATTTTTCTTTCTTTCTCAAACATACTCACATCTTGTAGGTAATCTCTTGTCGTGAATTTGGAAGAGATTGACTCCTCCAGTCGCCACTGTCCATCGAGAGTTTTTCAAGTTGAGAAATCAAGTCGTCGTCTATTGTGGGTTCTCCATCGTCTGTGTCGGTTGAGGGTTCGCTTCCAACTTGAGGAGCCCGAGGAATCACGTTATCGGAATACAATTCTGACCAGATATGCATGGCCTAATCTAAAGAGAATGGAGACCAAAAATTAACGATCAATCAAACCTAGAAATTTGATAAAAAAAATGCGGAAAGAGTTTTCTTTTTTGTTCAAAAAAATGTGGAAAGAGTTGCGCTCATGAATTTAGGGTTAGTAGAGAGATAGAAAGAGATAAGTGTCAATTTATAGGGAGACCATCAAACATGCAAGAATGAACGTCAGCTCATAGGAAATACTTTATTTATGGGTGGTGTTACAGGAAAGGGATCCTCTCCGGTCCCTTCCACCTAATCCTCCTCATCAAACAATCCGGGTCCTTAAAACTTGATCCAACGGCTAAAGTTATTATAACTTTTACAGTGGGCCTATGTTTTTAGCTGTTGGATCAAATTTCAAGGGTCCGGATTGTTTGATGAGGATGATTAGGTGGAAGGAATCCAAAGGGATCCGAGGAGAATCCTTTTCCGGTGTTATATACACCAAATTCATGCTTTAGATTTGTGCACCAAATGGTGCGGCAGATTCTACACGATATAAATTTTTATTACAATTTTTAATTAAATTTCAACCTGAATTAAAGTACAAATTTGATTGGTGACACATTATTTAGTACACAAATTCTGGTGCAAAAATTTGATGTGTCTATCAGTAAGCTTTAGAATTTTGCTATCTCAACCCAAGGCCTTTTGAAATTCTTTTTTGCCACAAGACATTATTTAAAAAAATAATGCTACATGTTTAAAAAATAAATCACTCATCCAATAAGTCATTGTCACGTGGTAAATTAATATTCTTGTTATTTCTCTAACAAGCTTTATCAAATTCATATACTCCCAGAGTTTGGGATCATCATCTGTTTCCCAACATTTATAGGACATTTATTCTTCGAGACTACCAAAATTTCTAATGATCTTAATTACAATGTATAATAACTTAATGATGTGATTGTGTAGTGTAAATTGAGCATGTGGATGGACTATTCAGTGTAGAGGTTTAGAAGTTCAGTGATTTTTAGCATGGGCGGATGTAGGTCAAGTCGAATCTAGGCCACCACACTGTCATATCATGTTCTTTTTCTCACATGGCGCAAGAGCTTTGCAGACCAAAATTTGGTTCATCTTGAAGATGCTTGAGAATAATGCTTACAGATACTATTAAATTAATAATATTATTTAAATAATTATATTTAAATAATCCTCGGTTGGATGCGATTATACTTCCTCGTTTAAAGGAACTTATCTTGAATAAGGATAATTTAAAGAGGGATGTGATATACACACATCCATTTTTACTTCTCACACACCATTCTAATTTTCGACCGTCGGATCGGATGAAATGAAGAAGATATAACGGATAGAAATTAACAAGGGTGTGTGAGAAGTAAAAATGGGTGTGTGGATAGCACACCCCTTTAAACACTTTTAGTTCTCTTGCCTTATCTCCTATCCATAAGCATAGGTAGTTGGAGAAATCCGGGCAGCAACTATTGGTGGTTGAATTATACGTGGAATGTAGATGTTGCCAATTTAATGAGAGCTTCTCGTCATTTGTATGTAAAGTTTACCGTTCTAGAATTTTCTGAATTATTTATGTCATCCAAGTTTTAAAATATCAAAAACAATACCAGTTACAAATTTATAATTTATCTTATAATCCTTGTCATATTAGTATCATCCAAACAAAATAAAGGACGGTTATGTGATTACAAAAAGAGGCAGCACAGTTGTTTACGAATTTGAGTCACGGACCTAATAAAAAAAACATTCCATCGGGTCTTCGTATACCTCTCTCCTTAGGATCTGCTCTGGAACCCTTTCCTCAAGTAATCTCTATCACGCATCTCCTGATCAAGGTAACTTCACCAAACTTTGTTTAAGTTTATATATTTATTGGATTATTTTCTCGTACCCAATTCAATAAAACGGTCATCCAGTTCTCAGGTTGACTTGTTATTTTCATAGCTAGCAACTCATAATTTCAGATTCTGGGTCTTCTTAGATTTTGTTTTTTCAATTCAAATTTGTTTTGTTTCATGATGGTTGGTCAGTTTTGATGGATGCCAATGATGAGAGAGCTCCTCTAGGTGGAGAACCTTCAACGGGCGCTGGTGATTGGAGGACCCAATTGCAGCTAGATTCACGACGCAGAATTGTCTACAAGATATAAGTATAGTTTGAAGTAGAATGAAAATCTAGAAATCATGGACCTCAGTTAATGAAGAAAAATTTACTGATGTAATATTCTCTTTTACATTTTTGAAAAATATGAGAAATAGGATGGATGAGACTTTAAGAAATTATATGGAGTACTTGGAACTAACAGTAGACATGGAGCAAAACCGAGCGCATTAGTATTCTATAATTTTTACAGCCGACCTAACTTAGTGAAATAAGTTTTGGTTGTATGTGTACGAGAAACAAAATCAGTTACAAAAATTTTAATAAAAAAATAGAAGAGAAACATTGAATATACAATAAAATGGGTTCTTAATCGTGTTATATATTGTTTATTGTCTATTTAGTGCTTGCAATTCTGTTATTTGTTAGAAATATATTAACAAGTTTTATTTCTGCATATTTCCCGATATTTTTACTATTTAATTGAATGTAGTGTTTATTTTGTTAAGAAACTTTACCTTCATGCCTTAATCATGATAAAAAAAACTTATTGATTATGTTTCATACAAAGAACTGAAATGTTAAAGAGGCACCTTCCAGGGGGCCGCGCATCTTGGGCTTGGACAAGCCTTCTTGTGGGAAGGGAATTGATTCAAAAGGGGGCTCATTGGCAGATCATGGGTGGGGAGGAGGTTCGTCTGTGGGTTGATAGATGGCTCCCCGCGTTACCTACGGGACATCCCACTCCTTCGGGTGGTGCTTCAGTAACTAGAGGCACACGGGTAAGTTCATTAATTTGCCCAATTTCCAAGACATGGGACATTGATTTTCTCCTGCCCTTCCTATCGACGGAGGAATGCGCGGCAATCAGGGGTACCCCAATTGGGAACCCTCGGAGGAAGGATCAATTGGTTTGGGCGGCTAACAGAAATGGCATTTATTCGGTCAGGTCAGGTTATTTATGGGTACATTTGCGATCCATAGCATTAAGAGATCACCGTTCCCCCTTCACTCGTTTTGTTCCGGAGAAGCTGTGGAAGAGCATATGGAGGGTTAAGGTGCCGGCTAAGGTTAGACACTTTCTTTGGAGTTCTCTCCACAATGCTTTAGCAACTTTGGTTGTGCTGTTTAAGATACGTTCTTCCCCAACCCCTACATGCCCAATCTGTCTTTGTCAGGAGGAAACTATTGAGCATCTTTTTCTTTTCTGCCTTTGGGTCAATTCAATTTGGTTTGGTGGGGCTCTTAAGTACAATATCCATCATGGGAGCATTTCTAGCTGGGTTTTTTGGCTACATTCTGTCTTCTCTACTAATTTGGGGTCTTCGGCGAGTAGAAAGTGGGTACAGACTTATGTGGCTTTCACTTGTTGGCATATTTGGAAGTCCCGATGTGATTTTGTCTTTAACCATGTCTCTATCATTCTTTCAAAGGTAATTTTGGGTATCTGTATTTCTATTGGTGAGTTCTTTAATGCTCGGTTGGTCCCTGAGGACTCAAGGACGGTGGAAATAGGTCGGGTCAGGCAGCTTACTAGGTGGACCCCATGTATCCCCTTTTGTTAAGGTGAACGTGGATGCAAGCTAGTCTAGGTTGACTAAAGCTGGGTTTGTTGCGGTGGTGGCTCGGGATGCGATGGGGGATTTTATTGCAGTGGCGAGGTACCCCGTTTCTGCTTCTTATGTTGCGATGGCAGAGGCTTTGGCTCTGCTCCGTGGTTGTAAGTTAGCGGTCTCCTTGGGTATTAGCTCGGTCATTTTTTAATCTGATTCTATGGAAACTATTTCATGTCTTTCGAAGTCACTTCAGAATGGCAATTGGGAGGCTTTCCCAATCTTGGCAAATGCTTATGATTTGGGTCAAACTTTCCAGAATTGTTGCTAGTATTGGGTTCCAAGATCGGCCAATATGGCGGCGGATTCTCTTGCGTCGTTTTGTAATGTGGAGATGTGTAATGTTGTTTGGGTCAATTGACCCCCATCTTCGTTAATTTTTGTCTTGAACAATGATGGATTACCTTGTCCTCATTAGTTTTGTTGATGCACAAAATCAGCGAAGACTTTGGTACAACAGAAAGTGTCAGGTTTTGTGACCTTCGCTTGGTTGCTTCGGTCACTAGTGAGGATAAGTACGTAAATGAATAGAGACAGAGAAGCAAACACAGGATGTACGTGGTTCACCCAGATTGGCTACGTTCACGGAGTAGAGGAGTTCTTATTAGTAATGAAGGGCTTACACAAGTACAAAGGATCAAGCTCTCAATTTAGTGAGTTCTTGTGAATGATTTAACACAAATGGCATTAGGCAATATTGTGGGGGAATGACCCCTATTTATAGAAAAACTTGTAGCTTTGTCACATTGACATGTGTCATGTTATGATTGGTTCTTGATGTCGACACGTGCTGCGCTCTGATTGGCTTCTAATCTTGACACGTGTCGAGTAGTGATTGGCCTCCTGGTCGGAGGGGAACTCTTCTGGGTCCTTGACAGTATAGCGTTGGCCGGTGCTCGGTAGTTTCGGGATTGGTCAAGTATGGTACAAACAAGTTTCACCTTTTGGCAGTGTAGAGGGCGACGCCTTCGCTTTGCTAAAGCGTCATCCTTGTTGTACCCTTCTGCACTGTGTTAGTGGTTTGTACGTGTTTGCCTCTGTGTAGGCTTTCGGTGTTTGCTTTGGCCTCTTGGCCCTGGAATGGATTTCTCAGTTTGCCAAAAAAAGAGGCACATTTCATACTTGAGGTCGAGGACATTGCGGCAAGGTTTGAGGATAAAATATATGTTGCAGCCTCTAGCCAGGTACTTCCATTACTCTTGGGGTTCTAATTTTTCATGTGTAACATCCCGACCCGAGCTCCACCACATTCCGGGCTCGACTCCGTCATAGCACGATATTGTCCGCTTTGGGCCCTGAGTCCTGACCACGCCCTTACGATTTTTGTTTTTAGGAACTCACACGAGAACTTCCCAGTGGGTCACCCATCCTGTGATTGCTCTCGCGTGAACTCGCTTAACTTCGG